AGTTGTTCTGTAAGGTTTTCTGTAGCTCTCTGTAATGCCCAACAAATACATAATGACATTTGCTCTCTGTAATTAACACTGGTTTTGTTCTGCTGTAAAGCGTGGCATTACCATTTCCATAAACATTATAGTGTAAAATCATTAAAAAATAATGAATTGACCCAATCTCGAACTAGTTGAAAATAGCAAGGTGGCCAAGTGCCACGAGTTTTCCAAATTTTCATGTTTAAGTAAAACAAATGAGAAAAGATCTGCAGGTTTGGATTAAACCTTGTATTGTGTTTGTGGCTGAGGCACAGCATAGTCTGTAGTAGTAGACCTCATTAGATCACTTGTTCCCATAAAATCTAGAGAAATGTGAGCCCAGCCTGCTGCAGAGTGGTTGGTGTCCCCTTTCCTCACCTGAGCCCAGCCCCAACCCACACTGGCTTCAGGATGAGGACTGAAGGCTCATCCAGCTTCTCATCCTCTGTGCCCACACAGGGAGCTGCAGAGCAGAGGCTGACTTGGCATCACCTCTCTGGTTTTAATTACAGCAGTGATTAGGAATTCACAGCCTGTGGTGAACCAGCAGCTCCCTGGCCAAGCTGGAGAAGGTCAGAGCTGCATTTAATGGCAGGGGCTCCTCCCCGGAGCCTACATGGAGTTTGAGGAAAAAGGAAAAATTAGAATGATTATACTCTGCAAGCAATACACAACACCCCCAAATGCCTCTGCCTGCATGGCTGTGGCAGCCTCTGTGCATGCTTTCGTGAAGATGTTAATTATTGCAACAACTTCCATTTAAATAAACAAATGGTTTCCAGTGATGCAGTCTGACCAATAACTTTGTGTGTCCCTGGGAATGCTGATGCTCCCTTTCCCTTTGGCAAATGAAAACTCTCTTGTAGTGACATAGTCGTGATTTGAGTGCCATTCGTGATTTGAATCCCTATTGCAAAGTCCCCCAAGCCCTCTGTTCAGAGCACTAGGCATGTTTTTTGTTCTGCATAGGAAGGTGAGGGAGAGTGGTTCAAGTTTTGCTGGATGCTTCTTTGTGCAAATCTTCTGTCACTAACCCCATTTCAGAAAAACAGCTATAAATCTCAGGATCTGGGCTCTGCAGAACTGAACATGAGAAAAGAGTTCAAAAAGCTGGTAGTGTTTCACTGGTGGGAAATCCCTCTAAATCAGCCCGTCTAGACTGAGATGTTTTAGATGCTGTAAATTCTGTTTCCTCAGTGAAATGAGTGAGCAGCCAGTGCCGTAGCCAAGGACACGGATCCATGGTGACTGCTGGCTGACAGGATATTCCAGCTTGCTCTGAGAGAAGCAGAGGGTCTGTGTGCTCTGAGCCATTGCATGGCACTGGCTCTGCTTTGTAGTTCCCCACTGCAAACAGCTAATTCTCCCAGGTATAGTGAAAAGCTGCTTATTTGGGTTTGGTTTTGTGCTATGAAGTAAAATAGCCTTTTCTGGGGCTTGAACAAAGGGATGGTGATGGGACATTTTGCCCATTTTCCAGGATAAAATGGATCACCCGCCTCTTCCCCACCCCACTGTGAACGCAGCAGGGCAGGAGGATACAGATACCCCGACAGGAGCTGTTCTTCCCAAGCAGGCACTGAAGGAATGGTAGGGAGGATGTGATTGTGTGGCCACACAGAACCAGTAAAATTTTAATTGCATTAGGCATACAACAGAAGCTTGAGGCTGTTCCCACACTGGCTTATGTCACTGAACTCCATTGACTGGAGTTACAGAACCACTTCCAGGAGAAAAAGATGAAAACTAAATTGTACAAGAGAGCAGTTTGTTGCAAAAATGAATAAATAAGCCCTGTTTTGGGGGTGATTGCTGTGAACACAGGCTGGTGGGTGACCTGGAACCCAGTGTCACTGCTGCCTGCCCCAAGGCTGCAGGAGCCCTGCTCAGCCCAGACCCAGGCTGGGAAGTTCCCCTGTGCCGGGCACCCCCAGCTCTTACCCATGGTTGTGCTCTCTTGGCACTTCTCCAGCACTTCTTCCTTCCTTCCTCCAAACCACTTTTTTCTGTCCTTCCTTGCGTATTTGTTTCTCTTTTCCTTACCATGGGAATATTTTAGAAATCCGGTGACGTGAAGTGCCATTTGGAATAAATGGAAATGGCAGCGTTTCCATGTGCCACATGCATGGGTGCCATGCTCTGCTTGCTGGCACCCAGGGCTGCTTGCTTGTGGGGAACATGAACTGCAGCAGGCTGGTAAATCCACCTCAGGCAACAGAAATGGGGCCAAGAAGTAGCAGAAAGGGCACACAAAGGTAACAGAAATGTAGAGAATGGGTGTGGAGAGCATCCTGCTGCTGATCCCGAGGTGACAGCAGCAGCTGTTGGCTGTGCACTCTGGAGTGCAATGCTGCCTTGCTGATGGGTAACCCAGCCCAACTGTGCTGGGTTTAAATTACTATTAGCTATTTTCCTGATCACATGAGAAATGTATTCCCAGAGCATGTGAACCATGAGGTGCTCACCTGCCTGTCTTGACTCGTCAGAGGAGGCTGTGATCCAGGCACCCCGACCCCTCTTTCTGTAGGTATAGGGAGGGGGTGAGGCAGTTCTCTCTGATCATCCCAAACACACCTGGGCCCTCTTCCTGGCCACCATCCCAGGGCAGGTTGGCTGCTCTGAGCAGATCAAGTATGGACTAATAATGAATCACTTTAGGATGCAAAACCAGGATTAACTATTGCGAAAGGCAACTTGTTTGAACTCCGCAGTGTCAAAATTGAAAGTGAACAGAAATTGCAGCCCTGACTCTCATGATCTTGCTGTTGATGATATGAGCTCCAGATGTCCATGAATGTCCTCGACCCAGATGGATGTAAAGGTCTGGTCCTGCTTCTACCCAGGCAAACCCTGCAGCTGAGCAGGGCAGAAGCCTAAGGCTGTAGCCAAGCATCCCCTCATGGCAGTGCTGTTCTCACAGGCACCTTCCCAGCTTTCCATTTTCAACTTACCTGCACAGATGGATACAAAACAGCATTTGCAGGCTGCTGTTGAGGGAGTAATTCCCAGGATTTCAGTGTAACCAGCAAGCTGGGTGGCTGCTTTTGGTGGGACAGGCTGTTTCTGGGGGCAGACAGTCTTAATTGGGACTTGCTGAAATGCTTTTGCACAAATAGGCAATTCATCAGTAAATTAATAGCTCCCTTGTTAAGCTCTCCCAGTTTTTGTAGTAAAAGTTTGTTTGTCAGGCTACTTTTCATAATCTAGTGTCGAGAAATATTGAGGGGAGAAATCAGTACTCTGTTTCAGTTCATAGAGTCATTTTATCCCAGAATGGTTTGGTTTGAAAGGGACCCTAAAGCTCATCCAGTTCCAACTGCCCTGCCATGACCAGGGATTCCTTACATTATACCAGGCTCCTCCAAGCTCCATCCAGCCTGGCCTTGAACACTTCCAGGGATGGGGCATCCACAGCTTCTCTGGGCACCCTGTGCCAGGGCCTCGCCACCCTCACAGTTCATCCTAACATAATTGCAGTAGGATAGTCAGTATTTTATCACATGTGGAGATTTCTGAGAAGGTCCTCAAATCTCAGGAGGGTGGTGGGTATTTCCCAGTAACATCATCTGGGTGTGATTATTGGAGGGGTTTAACTATTCTTGAAGAGGCTGGTTGTGGTCCCAGAGGGTTTGTACAGCCGGGAGTTCTCTGGGAGCAGAGGTGACTGTGGGATGTTGGCCAGTGTGAGGAAACAGCCTGGGGCCAGAGGGACATTTGGGCCAGAGCTCTCAGGGGTAGATGGATGACCATGAACATGGGCTCTGTGTCACTGTCCCCATGCTGCTGTCCCTGTGCTGCTGTCCTCACCATTTCACAACCCAAAAGTGAGTGAGGTTAATTGTTTGTTATGTTGGTTTTTTTCTTCTGCAAACGTACCAACCTTTTCCAGAGCTTTGTGCAAGGGGTGTCCCTGTCTTCACCACCTGACCTGTGCCAGCCCCAATGCTCATTTGGCTCAAACACAGGAGAAGGCTACTAGAGGATAGTCCTGACCCTCAGGACTTCAGGGCAGTGCAGCCCAGACAGTGTTCCCAGGTGGAAGAAAGGTTTGTGTTAGTGGTGCTGCTGTGTGGGAAGTCCTGGCATCCTCATGGAAGTGAAGCCAGGTAGCTCCACAAGCTGGAGCAAGGCCAGAGGGCAAGAGGGAAGGAGCTGCCTGGGCTCATGTGGCTGAAAAACTTTTTTAGACCTTGTCTCTTGTAAAGTCATAAATAGAGCTGTGGGAAACCTGAGCTGTTTGGATTCCCCCTGGGCAGCAACTGCTTGGCTCATCCTCAGAGGGCTGGCCAATACTGGGGACTCCTCAGTGAGGAGTTGATACAGGGCTGTCATTGTAAACAGGAGTTATTTAAAATGTTCCTTGTGTGCTCAACACCCAAACACAAGTCCCCTGAGGACCGCCTGACCCCTCACCCTGGAGCAGTGAGCCTCCTGCTTGGCTCCTTCTCTCTGGTGGCTGTTTCTGTTTGTGCAAAAGGGAAAAGCAAGGCAACCTGCTGAGTCAGAGTCTAGATCGATGCCCAGTCCACAGCATGACCTTGCCTTTCCCAGGAGCAGCTGTCACTCTGTGAGCCCAGCACAACTCTGTGCAGTCCTGCTCAGGGAAGGCAGAGAAAGGTCCTGGCAGCCCTGAGGGGTCATAGCTGGATCCTAGAGCTTATCCCAGCGTCTCTCACTCCAGATAACTGCAGCTGCATCACCTCCTCTACATTGGTACTCAGCTGTCCTTAGGGAGTGAGCTGTTTGCTCCTGCTCACCCTGCTACGGATGCTTCCTCCTTTCTTCTGTCTCTTCCATAGATGCTGTTTTTCTCAGTTAGGGTGGCCACTGGCAGGCAGCCCGTGGCTCAGCAGAGCAGGGTATCTGTGATGGCTGATGAGGCAAAGCATGTTCTCCTCTGCCCAGAGCCCCGTGCTGCCTCTGCCCACCCGCAGCCTGACCTCACCCGACCTGACCCATCCTTCTGGCTCTTGCAGAGTTTGCAGTCTCGCTGGTGGAGAAGATGCAGGCTCAGGAAATCCTGCGGAGCCTGCGGCTCCCCGAGTTTGATGACCTCAGCCAGTTCTTCCGCAACCTGCCGGCCACGGCGCTGGTGGGCATCGGTGCCTTCGCCGCTGTGGTCGCCTACTGGTTTGCCAGCCGGCCCAGGGCCGTGAAGCCGCCCTGTGACCTGCGCATGCAGTCGGAAGAAGTCGAGGTGAGGGCAACCCCAGCTGGCTTTCCCCAAGATCTGCATGCCTGGAAGTCATAGAACGGATTGGGTTGCAAGGGACCTTAAAGAGGATCTCATTCCAACCTCCCGCGGTGGGCACTAGACCAGGCTGTTCCAAGCCCCTCCAGCCTGGCCTTTAACACTTGCAGGGACAGGGCAGCTACAGCTTCTCTGGGCAACCTGTGCCAGGGCCTCACCATCCTCAAAGGAGAGAATTTATTTCTAGCATCTAATTTAAACCCACTTTATTGCAGTGTGAAGCCACTACCTCTTGTTCTGTCACTGTGTGCCCTTGTAGAAAGTCCCTTTCCAGCTCTCTTATAGGCCCCTTTCATTAAGGTCTCCCTGGAGCCTTCTCTTCTTCAGGCTCAACAACCCCAACTACCTCAGCATTTCCTCATAGGGTAGGTGTCCCATCCCTCTAATCACCTTAATGGCCTCCTCTGGACTTATTTCTACAGATCTATGTCCACAGGGGATGCCAGGAAGGCTTTTTTGTTGTTGTTTTGGTAGTTCCCCAACCTCATCCTAAAATCAACCATGTAATTCACTGTGCCAGGGATCACTTCACCCCTTAATTAACCTTTTTCTGTAAACTAAAAATCTAGAATACAGCATGTTGTTCTCTTAGATTTTCAGTAAAATTTTGGTCTTAGCTTTGCCCAACCATCCATGGCCAAAAATTAGAGGCACTGCAATTGCATGGGAGAAACAACTGAAAGGCAACAGCTGACGAGACCAGATCACCTGGCGCTCTTCATGTCTGCCCATTGCTGAGTTTGGTGCTGCAAACTTGGTAATAGTGAGAAAAATTAAACCTGAATCCATGCTTAGAGGCTGAGGGGTTACAAATTGTTATCCTTGCAAAAGGCTTTAATGATGTGGCTCTGTTTTAAAGAACAGAAATATTTCTGAATATTGTCTCTGCTTATTTTAATATCTGAAAGTGGGATGAGAATTTTTAAAGCCTTTTGTGATGTTCCCTCTAAGATGTCATTGTCTTTTCAATTAAAACAGCTTTTTTAAAAGGTGGGAGGAATTTACATTTTTCAAGATAGTTTTTCCCTGTGGTTAGGGCTTTAGTTAGACTTTTTTTCTGGCTCCCAGCGCAGTCCTGTTTTGGTCATTCTCACCGTGGTTGCCCACTGCTAAAACACCTCTGCCAAGCTCATGGCACTGGGCGCTGGCCTCTGCCTTAGTCTGTCCTTCATGTTGGCCTGGATGGCCTTGTGGAAGTGCTCATGGTGCTAGTCCTGGAGACCTGTGGAGCTCAGAGCAGTTGCTTCCCCCAGCACATCCCCACTCCATTACTTCCAGATCCATAATTCCTTATTACATTCCCTAGGGAAATATCAGCGATCTCAGTGACAATGAGCTGGGTCAAGTGTTCCTCTGTGACCAGAAGGTCTCTGTGTCCCTGAGGTGCTGAGGGCAGTGTGCCCCCCCCTCACATCCTCTGGGTCTTGGGGCAGGCGGTGGACACAGAGGTCTTGCTGGCATTTGAGGAGTGTGCTGCTTTATGGGGGTTTTTCCCCAGCTCCCACCCCTTGAGCAGTGCTGATGGCTGTGTCATCTCGTGTCACCTCATGTCTCACAGGGCCTGGCCGGGGCGCGCCGCTCGGTGATCGGGGACAGCCCACAGCTGCTGACGCACTACTACGATGATGCCAGGACCATGTACGAGGTCTTCAGGAGGGGATTCAGCATCTCCGGTGAGAGCACAGGGGTGAGGAGGTCTAGGACCAGAAGCTGGGAGAGGTGGGGACCAAGCCATGCAGGTGTTCTTACTCCATGGTCAATGGCATCGTCACAGAACCCTCACACTTGAGACATCACTTCCCACTCCCAAAAAGCCATGATGGCCCTTCCCTGCTCTACCATAACTATTTCCATGTCTGCTGTTCACGGTGTCCTGCCTCATTGGATGCAACAATGTCATGGTCAGATTATTATTTTTGGTACCATAAAAAAACCCAGTAGATCTGCACATATTCTGCCCCACAAGACAGAGGTAAATGAAGAACTTGGTAGTTGTATGGAGGAATGGATTCCTGCAAGTAGGTACCATTAACAAATTATTCAAAATTTTCAAATTTTCATCTGGTCATGCACTGCTGTGTGTTGTTTTACCTTCCTTCAGAGCAGGCTGGGCTAAACATAGTAGTTTTCACATTTTTAAATCAAGAGGCAGCGCAAGTAGTGGGAGCTGGTGTTTGGGATGGGTGCCCTTATCAGACACTAATGCTTATGTGACCTTTGGAGAAGTGTCTTTTAATGAGGCTGTTTGGGGCAAACTGCTCCTGTCAGTGGGGAGGACTGAAGCCTTTTTGGGGGATCCCAGCAGCTCTTCTCCCATCAGATGCACTTGTGGGGGTAATTTGCTGGAGATTTCTGTGAAAACCAACCCATTAACTATGGATTTACTCCTGGAGAGCTCCCCGACATTGTAGCCCCATGTATGAACTCCTGGCACTCCCTCCCCATAACTCATCATCTCTGCTTGTGTCTTTCAGAGAATGGTCCCTGCCTGGGGTTCAGGAAGCCCAAGCAGCCCTACCAGTGGCTGTCCTACAAGGAGGTGAGCTGGGTGTGACACCCACTGCACATCCCCTTCCCCTGCCCAACACAAGAAGGGGTATTGGGGTGCCTGCACATTAGACCAGGGGGTTGCTCATGCACCATGTGATGCTTCCTGGTGTCCCCACCCTGGCACATCCAGGTGTTGCACGGGTGTGTCAGCTTTCAGGAGCTGGCTCCATGCCAATGAGCTCACTCCTGAAAGCAGCACTGAGGCACTCTGGAGCCATGGGGCATCGCCGACCTCACCAGCTGCTAGTCAGCTAATGATGGTTCATGATAACATAAAAATTGGACTTTTAGATAGGAAATACAATCATTTGAGAGCCTCTCTGTAAGTCTTTGCTTAATTTGGTATTGTTTATATTCCTCTTTTTTAATGTATTTTTTCCTCACCAAATTCCAGGTGGCTGAAAGAGCAGAAGCTCTGGGTTCAGGCCTTTTGCAGCAGGGCTGCAAGCCATCCACGAAGCAGTTCATTGGTGTCTTTGCTCAAAACCGTCCAGAGGTGAGATTTTTATGTCCAACTTGATACTCAATTAATAATGTTCCTGACCTGTCAGCTTGTTCTCAAGTTATATCTGCTCTCATGGCCCCTTCTCACCTTTGTGCTTCCATGTTCTCCTTCAGTGGATCATCTCTGAGCTGGCTTGCTACACCTATTCCATGGTGGTGGTTCCCCTGTATGACACCTTAGGTCCTGGAGCCATTCGGTACATTGTCAACACAGGTAAAATCAAAACTGATGAGATCTCAGTTTTGTTGCTCAGAATGGCTCATTTTCTGCTTCTAACAGACAGAGGATCACAGAATCCTAGAATGGTTTGGGTTGGAAGGGACCAACCTTATGTGGTTCCAACTCCTCTTCGTTGGCAGGGACACATTACGCCAGGCTGCTCCAAGCCTCATCCAACCTGGCCATGAATACTTCCAGGGATGAGGCATTGTGACTATACTTGTTGAGTATAATTCACTTAGTCTAAGTCTTGAATTCACTTAGGGAGGTTCCTGAGAAGCTGTGTGTCCCTGTGCTGCCTCTGTTGCATTTTCCACATGCCCAGTTGTGCATAGCCATGGTTAAGGGCTGCTCTGGATGTGGGAATTACTCCATGGCCGCCCACTCCTGTGTTGCTTGATATTTTGCCTCCTAGATTTTTTAATGCATGTGGGGACCAATTTTAATATTTTGAACTGACTCCCAGAATAATCTTAAATGAGAACTACAGCTTTGAAATTGACTTAGGTTAGCTAAGACTGAATTTTTTCCTCATTTTTCAAGAGAAACATGTGTTGTATGCTGGGATTTCTGGTGTAGCCTGGAGTGACTGTCAGAACTGATATAAGGTTAGCTATGAGCCAGACTTGCATTAAAGAAGATTTACTGCAAACAGCTTGTTTGGCTGATTTTTTTTGCAGCTGACATTTCCACGGTCATTTGTGACAAGCCTGAAAAAGCCAGGATACTCCTTGACCATGTGGAGAGGAGAGAAACACCAGGGCTGAGGTCTATCATCCTGATGGACCCATTTGAGAAGGAGCTGGCAGAGAGAGGGAAGCGCTGTGGGGTTCGCATCCAGACCATGCAAGAGGTGGAGGTCAGTTTGCTCTCTCTCCCCTTTTACTACTTTTTGTATTATCTGTAAAAAGACAGTACAATGTACAGGGACTTGTGAATTGTGTGCCAGGTTCAGTGTCTGTAGAGCACAAAAGAGCAGCTTGTGGCTGGTAATACTGATGTTTGGTGCACTTGCCTCTTGGTGTTATTCTTTGTTGATAGCAGAGCCGACATTTCAATTCTTTATCCTCAAATACTCTATCAGCATGGGAAGGGGGTTGTTGTTTGAGACACTGTCCTTCTACAATGTTACTGATAAGTAAATTTTACAAAAGGAAGGCCTTGTAAAATCATGGCTCAGGGCTGTTTGGCTAAGTAGAACAGGACTGTGGAAAAGAGACTCAGCTGAATTAGGGGTATGAAAACGAGTTATATAACCATTGTGTGTTCACATCGTGGTGTATGGTGGTTGGGTGAATTATGTTTGCTATGCTTTAAAACAATGTAACTGATAATGGGCTAACTGCTTTAAAAGGCCTGGGTTTTGCAATAAAGCAGCTTTCCTTTGCACCTGCCTGGGGACTCTGTGTCACTATGAACCCTCACCCACACCACAGCCTCACACTTGTTTGAAACACCCTGGGTGCAGCTCAACCAACCCAAACACTACTTTAAATCCAAGGAAGGCACTGCAGTTAAGGCAATAAACTCCGGATAATGAAGATGGCCTCAGTGTCAGCTAGGAATTTGTCTGCTTTAGTTCACACTCTCCCTTAGTGGTTTGCAGATTATTAGCAAATGGGTTACACTGCAGGAATTAAGGAGGAAATCACTTTTGTTACTTTCATTTCTTCCAGGACTGTGGCCGTGAGAATCGACACGTGCCTGTGGTGAGTGTTGCTTTGCTGCTTTTCCCACTTACAACAGCAGCAGAAGGCACCTTAAAGCTCATCTCATTCCACCCCCCTGCCATGGGCAGGGACACCTTCCACGGCTGCTTGGCTGCTCCAAGTCCAATGTCCAATCTGGCCTTGAACGTTTCAGGAATGGACAGCCACAGCTTCCCTGGGCAACCTGTGACAGGGCTTCACCACCCCCACAGGGAACACTGTGCAGTATTTGCTTTATTCCCTCTACCTGGAACACTTAATTGAGATAGCTCATCCTGCTATGAATGTGTTTATGGGACAGGAGTTAAATGCCATTGTAAAGCTAGCCTAATTCCACTACCTTACCCTGGTGGCACTGGGGGAATGTCTCTGTACCCTTCACTTTCTGCTGGGGTTCCTATAGTTCAGAAACACTACTTGGTAGTATTTATATGGGATATTTTGGGAAAATTGCTTTGCTATTTTTCACTGGCTGCTCATATTCATACAAAACTCTCAAAAGCAGCTTCTGATATTCAAGCTGTTTATTTAATCATTCATGACCCAAAATAGTGCACGTATGGGGTGGTGCAGAGAAACAGAGATGCTGCTGGAAATGGTAACAATCAGCAGCTTTGCAATCTTGTCCCCTGTTGGGGAGTTCTTTTCAGAATTGACCTATAAATTGATGAATTATCACAAGTTATCCTACATGTCTACAGATACAGGTGGTGGCTTGGAAAATACTAACTGTGAGACAAACACTAAAGCACGCCCTTAGTGCAGCTGGAGCACAGCATGAAGGGAAGAATAGAGTCTGCATGGGCTGAAGAAACCTGGTTATATATGCTGAGGACAATGATAGCTTTTAATGTCAGAGCAAAAACATAACTGGTTTGATCTTTAGGTTTCTACAATGTCAACAGCCTCTGCCACTGACATGTCTGCATTTGACTGATGTGATTTTCTTAATCTTCTTTTGTATTTCTAGCCTCCTCGACCAGAAGATCTGTCAATTGTCTGTTTTACTAGTGGCACTACAGGTAAAAGAGGCATTTTAATCTAGAAATGTTAGAATATCTTACGAAATTAATTATTAATCTGACCTCAATACACACAAACTTGCTGTTATACTGATATGGCAATGATATTTCTAGGCATTTTTAATATTTAAGAATATATAGGTTTATATACTTCTGTAGATTGCAAATTAAAAATAACAATATATTTCTTTTTCAGTTGAATTCTCTGATGTACACTTTGCCAGTATGATTTTCCAGTTGTCTGAAAATCCACCCATATGTCTTCTTCCCATTTGTCGTGTAATTGTGAAACACTTGGTTGATTGGTATTTATCTTTTGCAAAGGTTTTTTTAAAAAAAACCCAAAACTTAAAATGTCATTCCACAGCTTTCCATTCTCTGTATCCTAAACACATTGATGTCTCCAGCCTCACCAAGGTCGTTGTCACCTCCATTTCCTCCTCTTGTGTGTTGCTTATGACACCAAGTGCTGTGAGGTTTGGGACGAGCCTGGGCAGCCCATGGTGCTGGTACTCGCGTGCTGCTGGCCTGTTTTTCTTGATAAGAGAAGCAGGATCATTTTCCTGCCTGTTCTTAGCAGAGGCAGTTCTTTCTCCTCTCTCCAGACCCTGGTCTTCATCAGCTTGCAGGAATTTCCTACTCTTGAGAACTCAGCCTCTGTAACATGTCCCTGAAAGCTGTATGGGCAGATGCACAAGGCATCACTGCTTGGGACACTGCTTTTACACGTTCCTGCAGAGAAGGTCCATGCTCCAGGCACTGCTGGAGCAGCTCTTCCAGATCCACTTGTGCTGTTGGGATTGCCTAATGCTTGGTCCTACGCCAAAGCATCCTCAGTTTGGTCTCAGCAGAAGATGCTGGGAGCTGCTGGTGCTCCTCAGATGGCGGGTCAGGCTGAGCACAAGGGAACACCTTCATCCTCCACCTCCCAGAAAAGACTGGTGCTTCAGACCAGGTAGGCAGCTGCTTTATTAACTCCAAGTACAAACTCAAGATGTATTAAAAGGGTTTGGGTATTTTACCTTCATGTATGGTCCTTAGTTTTGAGATCTGCACTTCAGAGTGCCCAGGGCAGAGCACTGAGGGAAAGGAGCCTGTGACTCTGCTCTGTTCCAGCACTGGGAATTCCTAAATGGGAAATACAGAACTCAGTGCTGTACATGAACATCACAGCCATGTACAGAGTGCAAAGTGGCCGGGCCCAAATGGGAACAGTAGGAAATGGAAGGAGCCATGCCATGGATACAGCAGGGCACAGTGTGTTTCTGTGCATGTTCAAGTGCTGAGTAATTATTTTTCAAGTCACATTATTGTTGATATTTTTATTTCTAAATAAGAAATTCTGCATAGAGAAGGTTTCTTTTGATTTTTTTTTTTTAATTTGCAGATGCAATCATGGGCCAGTTTCTGATTTTGTGCTTTTCTTAGAAACATGCTCAGTTACAGAAATAGGACAACCAGCAAGTTCATTTCCCTTCTCCCATTCAAATCAGAGATTTCCAATTTTGCAATTCATCTCAAACTGAATCCTCTCATAACAACACTTTGTGATGTATGAGCCCATCCTCTGCTGCTGCAGGACTTTGCACATCACTCTCTGCTTTTTCCAGAGGTTGCATTAACACTCTGATCTGTTTTCTACATTGTGCTTTGATGTAAGTTTTATATAGCCCATGTAATTTTTAGTGACTAAATTTAGAATTTTCTTCCAAAGGATACATTCTCTAGGGTTTTTCCAATTCCAAAGGGCTTTAAATATTTTTTTATGGCGTGACAAAAATCTCTGCTGCAGAATTTGTTACCTGAAGATTGTAAAATTGTAAAGAATTCCTCAGGAGCAGACTTTAACACTTGCTTTTCTTTGATAGGACCAGATGCCCCAATGCCTCCTCAGGGAGAAAAGAGAGGCTGAAGTTACTGATCTTGGATGACAAGACCAACTTCCATGGCTGTGCCAAGAAGTCATCAGCACTTGGAAATGGGCCAAAGGCACATAGAAAACAAGAAACAATTTTTCATGTTGGCTACTCCAGAGAAATCAACTGTTATTTGCTCAAGGATCCACTAATCCAGGTGGATAAAAATTGCTTCCCAGTGGTTTCTCCCAGCCTGGCAGTGCATGTTCCTTTTTGCCAGAGCTCCCCAGGGGAGGAAAGTGCTTGCATCCCAGAACGCTGATGGATCACACCATCAAATTAGTGCTGGAGCACTTGAAAAACCCTTTTGGCAATGTGGAAAATGTTCTCTATTCTTTTAAAGGTTCTACTATCACTTATAAGAGCTATCAAACAAGCCTGGCACCAAGATAAGGAGGACTTGACATTCCTGGATTATTAATGGATTGCAAGGTATTCATTCTGTAACAGGACACTCACTGGGCCTGTCTTTGTGAGGAAATTCAAACAAGAACAGTGTTACAGAAATGGCATTGATTTTTTAAATAGAAAAGCCAACTCTCTTCTCTCCAAGTGGTAATTCTGGGAAAGGGCTCATAGAAAGGGGCACTTATTTTTGCTAGGTTAATTCTTAGAACTACTAAGGAAGGCTAAAGCTTACTGGAGTCCCCCAACCCAAAAAGCTGCAGCTGTCCCATAACAGCATGGATTGTTCTGGATTTCTCCTGATGAAGGCTCTCCTGGCTCCAACACTGCTGCTCTGCTTAGACACCATTATCACAGCCTGTCCAGGATGTTGAGCCTGTGAGAAGAGGGATGCAGAGGAAGGAGTCAGGATGTTAACACTGCTTCCAGGCATGGCAGAGATGCTGGATCTGCATTCAAGTCAGAGGTGGAGTGAGTAAATGAGTCAAACATCTGAGAAATCTCATAGAATCACGGAATAATTTGGCTTGGATGAGACCTTTACAGCATGTCTAGTTCCAATTCCCAGCCATAGCAAGGGACAATTTTACTCACACCTGTTTGCTCCATGCCCCACCCAGCCTGGCACTGAACACTTCAAATCCTGCAAAAAAACAGCTGAAGAATTTCATCAAGGTGTAGGGACCAGATGTGTGCCAGAGAGCACAGTTCTGAGTTTCCAGACCAGGACTGAGCACATCCTCTCCACTGGTGCCTGAGCCACGTGAAGCTGCAGGGGCACAGCTGCTTCTAGAACTGCAGGGGCTGAGCACCGTGTTTGGCTGGACACACCTCAATAACACAAATGGGTTTTGAGTCGTGGTGTATATTGCACAACTGACACCTGTTCATGGATTTTTCTTGGAGTCTGGATCCATGTGTGCACCCAGCTGTGAAAATAACCTGCCAGGCTGATTTGGCACCTGCGAGCCTGCTGGTTCAACATGTTAACATGGGAGCAAAGCTGTCAGCTTCACCCCTGAGCTTCAGATGGGACCAAACCAGCCTCCTGTGCACTGTCTTCATCTGCAAGTGTTTGGGACTGATACTCAAGTCACTTGGAGCAGCAAATAGGGATTTTCAGTATAATATATTGTGTTAAAAATATCCTGTTCTATTGCAATAAATGTATGCAACAATTGCTACTGCTGTTTGTGCCTGCCTTTAATTATTTGGAAGGTTGAGTAGGAGTGATGGTGGTGGTGCTGGCAGGGCAGGGGGCTCAGTGCTGAGTGTGCCCATGTCCGTGCCCATGCCCACACTGGAGGGCTGCTAGCAACACAGCCCTCAAACTGTTCTGAAATGAGAGGATTAAACATACTTTCCTGTGCTGAAACATATTCACAAAGCACCACAGTCTCTTCCTAATCTGAGGAAGGCAGAATGAAATTATGGCTGGTTTACCATGTTACATTAACTGAAGGAGCTTTGCCAGGCTGCTCATGCCCAGTGTACTGGGGACACACTGGGCACCTGCAGGCAAAGCTCTCCTGATCTGCCTTCACACCGAGCAGCAGGAACTACGTGGCAGTGGTGTGATCGAATTAAAACAATCTGCTTAAAAACATGTTGGAGAGAAAGAGGCTGGCCCCATAATCTTTATTTGAGCTGAGCTGCACCTTATTTTCACAAGTAAAGCCTTGGAGGGTGATGAAAAGGGACAGTGCTGTGACAGGAGGATGTAAAGAGCCCTCCATGCCACTTTTTTGTGAACATGGAGGTTCCAGCCTGTGTCTTTGCTGCTTAACAAACACTCTGTTTTTGTGTCCAAAAGATAGGAAATGCAAGAGGTGTACCATGGCCAGCTGACCATTGTGTAAAAGGAGTGTAAAAAGGCAAATGTTGGTGGTGCTGAGGTGCCTGCTGTTGGTGGCTGAAATGCTGCAGGGGCAGTGCCCAGCTCTGGAACACAACAGGGACTTTGCTGGCTCCCTCATGGGTTTAGAGCTGTCTTCAAGACGCCTCTGCTGCTGATTATTTTCATTCATTCATATTTCCCTTAATTGTAGGGTCCAAGGGTCTTCTTGTAGCCTAATTTTCACCTGCACTGCTCTCTGCATTTCTCATGTTATCCAGAGTACTGGCTAAGTAGTTTAACAGCCTTTGAAACAGTGTTTCTTGGTGTTCAAGATCATTCTTAGTCAAAATCTAGATGAAATAAATCCTCCCAAGAAAGGCTGGAACAGCCAGCGAAGTCTGATGGCTGTGCTCATTGAGTGGCTCCATCTGAGCACTCTCAGAAATTTGCACTTGGGCTATTTCTGCTGAAACCTGTTTTACAGAGTCTCCAAGAGAAATATTTCTGTTTGCAGTATCATTTTATTAAGTTTTGAGTACGGCAGTGTTTTTGGTGCATATTAGAGCACAGAAATGATGGTGAAAATCACATGTTTTAAAAGTGAAGAAGCGAACATAATATTTTAACCATTTATTGTTTTGGTTTTTTTGTTACATTTTTAAAAGTTACCTTCTGGCTTATCTTTTAAACTTTCTCTCTGTTTCCTTTCAGGAAATCCCAAAGGTGCTATGCTGACCCATGGAAACGTGGTGGCGGATTTTTCAGGCTTTTTGAAAGTGACAGAGGTGATTACCCTGAGCTAGAAAACATTGCCATGTGCAGAGTGTGTGGGTTAAGCTGCGGCCCTGCATGGGCTGGAAGTATGCTCTTGCAGATAAAAATGACATTTTTCCTGCTCAGAGGGCCAAATCCATGGGAATGGAGCAAGGCTGAATCTACAGTACTGGAGGGCAGTAAATCCTCTTTCCAGCTCTGCCTCCCAGGCTCTGTAGGGCACTAAAAGCTTCTGAGAAACAATGCTGACTTCTGTAAATCAGTTCATTAACTCTTTTTGAAGAATTAGGAGAGCACACAAGCCTGTGCAGTTGCAACTGGTGCTTGAAGAGGAGTTCAAGCTCCTCTTGTGCTCTTTTGTCCCATTGTGCCCAAAAATGTCACCACTTATTTGAAACCTCTCTGCATACAAAGTGTGTATGTATAAATATATAAGAACATCCATGATTTTTTACCAGAATGGTTAATGGTTAATTTAATTGATATTCCAGAATATCTCAGGTTTTGTTATACATATTTCTAATAGAGCATAACAGAGTGCTGGCCAAGTACCTTTATAATATGTTTCATACAACATGTAAACTCATGTTTAGAAACAATATAGGAAGCAAAGTCAGTTGACCATGACATAGTAAGGATTTTATACATCTTATATAAAACAAATCTAAATAATCTATTTTCTTCTAGTGAGCAGGCAATTCTTTAAAGTAGTTACATGCACATAGGATGGACAATTGGTTACCTCATACCCCTTACTGGTCTTATTGTTGATGTTGAAATTACTGCAGTTTTATTACTTTAATCCTGGAATTTTCTGAGATTTCCGGACCACTGGTGTAAAGAAATTGAGACATGTGATGTAAGAAATCCCACTGGACTCGCGTGTTCCAATGTTTGCAGGACTGAGCCTCCAAAGTGTGCAGGACAAAATGCCAGTGGGGGCTCCTCAGCATGGAGCTCTCCGTGGCTTAGTGGCAGCAAGAGGCACAAATGAAAGCTGAGGCGTGGAGAGGACTGAGCTTCTAAGGGCAGGAATTTATTTTGGAAGAGCTCTAAGTCAGAGCTGAGGAAACTTGGCATCTTCCAGAAGTGGTCCATAAAAATGGATCTAGTGTTTGCTGATGGAGTGGGACTCTGATTAATCTCAAAGGTATCCGATTGAGACCCAAGTCTAGTGTGATTGTAAATTTGCTATCTCCAGTCACCAGTATTGCTGGCAGAGGGTAAATGCCTGTAGCTGATCCACAAGATTTGAGTAATGCCTGATGCAATAATGAAATAGAGTAAAGTGTGAAACACTTGAAAGTAGTATAAATTAAATAAATCAAATGAGAAGTTCAGTGGGTTTGTTGTTTACAAGTTCTTGTGGCAGTTTTGCTTATTTCAGTGATTTTTAAAAACTGAATATATTTTTAAGTGAGTCCAGAGCTTTATTATAAGGTTGTTCTCAAATACCAAGAAGCTGTTTACATTTTTACATTTAACTGGACAACTGTGCCAACTGTGAAATGCTATTCAATGGCATAATTTTGGTCTGATTTAAAACCAGATTATTTTGTCTGGACTCTTATAGCAGTAATAAAAAAACCCTGGTTGATATTGAAGGTTTTGCATTACTGTACTTGCAGAAAATGAAGCCAAATTGAAATAATGTATAAATAGATCTGCAGGCTCTAATGGCTTCATTCAGACTGACAGACACAATGATATGAAATGGGATGCTGAGAACATCCACATAGTCAATGATATTTGACTTTGGTAGGTGATGTTCTAGAGGCCATACCCAAATGTGACCAGCACAGATTTAACTTCAATGAAATATCCCCTGAGGGATGAAATCCTGTGACTTCCTCCACTGTATCCCAGGTCATGGGCTATTGATTCCTCCTGAGCAGTGGAGGTGCAAGAGGGTATAAACTGTTAATACTGTGAGCTGATAGATTTTTATACCAATGTTCCACTAACCACTGGCCTTGATGCAAATTACTGCGTAGTCAACCGTTCAGTTTTTCTAATCCATAATATTACAGCTAGCTGTACCCTAGGAAATGCAGGTAGAAAGGTTATTTTCTTTTGGAGAATGGGTTAGGTAAGGCTCTTGGGGCCTTTGTTTATTCCAGCCTTCAAGAGAGTTAAAAACTTGGCAAAATCAAGACTTTGGCCACTTTTCTTCCCCTCTTCCCTTCTTTCCCCTGTCTGTGGGACAGTCATAATGCCCTTAAAATCACATTTTAATCACTTAAAATGATGAGAAACACTAACAGAAGTAATTAGTTCTTGAAGCCTAAGATTAAATCATTAGTTTTCCAACACTTTGATTCAAATCAATGATTAACCGAAGGAAAAGGGAAAAAATGGCTAATATTGACTCTGGTAACACTGTGATTCTTGACTGGGCTGTATGCAATGTGGGAAAGTGTTGCTCCTGCAGAGCCCTGCTGGTGTCCAGGGGGCTCCTGCAGGTTAGCACTGGGATCCTGGGGGCTCCCGCAGGTTTGGCCCAGGATCCTGCTGTCTGCACACAGCTGAGAGCACAGAACAGGGTCTCGGCACCTCCTGGTAGAAAGCAGTGAATAATAATGGGATTCTCCATCAGGGTGAGCCTCCATTCCCAGCGTGAGCTGCGCGGGTGCAATCTGCCTTCTGCCAAGGAGAGCGCTCTCCATTGCCCTGTGCGTACATCTCCGTGCTCTTTACTCCTCTGCTAACTGAGCTCCATGATGCTGTGGCTTTAACGCTTCCCTGTGTCCGCCGCTCCCTCCTCTCTTGACAATCTTTACCCTTTTGCTCCTCTGGTGCCATTTTTCTTTTTATTATTTTATGACTTTCTTGTTGTCTTCCTGTCAGTGTTTCTTTCCTTTCTGTCTCCCATGCCCTTCACCTGCAGAAAGTGATCTTTCCGAGACAGGACGATGTGCTCATCTCCTTCCTGCCTCTGGCTCACATGTTTGAAAGAGTTATACAGGTAAGAAACCTGCCTGAACTGACGAGGCCTCGTGGGGCTCCTTGTGTTTTCTTCCAGAGTCAGTGGTCTCCTACTTGTGAGGATGTACACATTTCCTATTTGCCTTTAGCACACATGTTTGAGAGAATGGTACAGGTAAGGTCATGGTGTCAGTGGAAATCATCTTTTTTCCACGCCAACAACAAAAAAAAAATAAAATAAAATGAATAAAATACTAAATAACCAGTGATATCTTGTAGCACTAAAAAGGCTTGTACTCCAGAAGTGCCATGTGCATAACACCAGAGCCATGGTCTCAGTGACATGGCTGAATCCAGAGCGAGGCCAGGAGAGTTTCCCAACTTCTTACACCCTTCTCAGGGATTGAAAAACAGCCCTTCAGCAATGAGCCAAACTCATGGCTCATTCAGCTCAGGGCTACTGCCACCTGAGCAATTTGTGGGACAGCTTTTCAAAGCACTCTAGGATGAAGTGTCCTGTGAGTCAAGATAATTTCATGCCATTTTCTACATCAGCTAAAATGATGTTATTGCATAAATAACATGATCAAAAAAAACCCAAAAAAAACAAACAAACAAAAAAAAAAAACCCAAAAAAACCCCCCAAAAAACCCCAACCTGGCAGACACTGAAAAAGAGGAAACTGAGATCATGGTGAGACATGTGATCCTCCTAGCAGGGCAACGTGGTGGCCATTCACTGGAGCCTGTTCCCCTGGGAATTATGGCAGATCCAAGGTCTTGCCAGCTCAAAGAACTGACTCCATGTCTCTTTGGGAAAAAAAAAAGGATGATGACTTGTGCTGCAATTGGTGAGTTAGGCAAGTCAGGTGAGACAGCCACATCAGGTCTCCTGGCCTGAGAAGCTGCAAACTTAAAACTGATCCAGTATGTGAAGATTGGATCTGGATCCAGTTGCAGCTCTGTACTTTTTCAGGGAGGCCAGTTGCAGGCTGAAAGGACACTTTCTGAGTCAGACAAGCATCTGCATGTGAACCTCCCACTTCTTAGTAAAATCTGTGCCAGAAATAATATATTTTTCCCTGTTAAAACTCTCACAAATTGGAAGTAAAAGCCCATGAAAGATTTGGAGAATTACAGCCCAGCCTTTCTCCACCTGCAAGGCAGGTTGGTCAGTGTGCCAGCACTGTTCAGGCAAACAAGAATATAATTATTCAAAATTCTTCTGATGGGTGGGCAGAAAGAAATTAGAAACATTGAAAATGCTTTCATTTCACAGGATGTTGTTGTACTGAAAGGGACAGCCTCCAAAAGATGTCCAGGTTTATCCTCCCATCTGAAACAGCTTAATATAGAGATTTTTTCAAAAGGGCTAAAAAGTAATTTTCAAAAGCCTTTTGAACAGCAAGAACCACATCAGTGTCCCTAGTTTTAGCCAACATTATTCATCCCCGGAATTTACAATTAAAATCATACAGATACATTCTTTAAAGCTAAAAATTTCTAGTTGTTATTTTCAATTCCCAGTGAGCACACTAGTTACATTTTCTTTTTTAAATTTATGTGCAGTGTAAAGCAACATATTCAGCATTGTGATTTTCATTAAACCCACATCACATGTGTAAAATTCCTGTGGTTTCAGCTGAGGGAGTCAGTCTCTAACTGTCTGACAGAGCAGCGAGAGCAATTTGGTTAGTATTGCAGATTTTTAGGAGCAGCACCAAAAAACGTGGATGTCTCTCAAGGAATTTTCAACTTATTTAGTTATTTGGGGAAGATGAGCCCACGAAAGGGAGCTGAAGTTTTCAGTCTACTCAGGAAGGCTGGGCTCAGCTGTCCTCACAGGCACTTGCTGAGGACACTTTCTCCTCCATGCACTGTAAAACTGTGGGAGAAGTGCTGGTCTCCAAATGTTCTTCAGTGATGAAATGCCAGATTGACCCAGTCTGAGATGGCTCCTTGGCAGGGTTACTGGTTACCAGTAACCAGCTACCAGCTGGCTCGTGGCCAGCAGCCCCTCTGCCCCATCTCACATACTGAGCTCCATTCTGCTGATGAGGAAAACATCCTGCTTTGTTTTCCAGTACAAGGCTTCTGGATTTGTAGTTTCCATACAAGTCAAGCACCTTTCATGAAGTGGGCTTCTATTTCTGGGATACAGGATCAGGCACTGTATTGCTAACGTAGTTTATATTGTTGTATTTAAACAAAACTAAAGTATTAACATCTAAAAATTGGCTGCTGCTCCGTGTTTTATGATGTTTCTTACTTTGCATTTCTGTATTGACGATAGGTCCTCATGCTGTGAGCTGCTACGGGAGGGCTGGGCTTTAGGAAAGTTCTGATCCAGACTTTGACCATAACTGGGACTTCTCTATCCCCATACGCAGGGGATGAAGGGAAATCCCTTCTGAAAATTTTGATTTCTTGTTCTTCCAAAACAAGTGGTAAATTTGGCGGATGCTGAATTGCTTGTACTGAAAAATGCCCAGAGCTATTTGGATATTTCTATTTTGTGCACAATTTATTGTTACTTTATTGTACTTCCAAAGTCCCGTTTTTGCCATATTGCAGAGCAGGAATTCAGAAAAGGTGCTTCTGCGCTTGGGAGGAATGCTTTGCTTTGGGAATTGAAAGCAAAGGGGTTACATGTGTTCCTCTTTCTCCCCATCAGTCTGTAGTGTACTGCCACGGAGGGCGAATTGGCTTCTTCCAAGGAGATATTCGCCTCCTGTCCGATGATATGAAGGCACTGCGGCCAACCATCTTCCCCGTGGTGCCACGGCTGCTGAACAGAATGTATGACAAGGTGAGTTGGATTTTGATTTTACTCTTTTTGGAGCAACGGAGTTTATGTCCCTTTACTACTCATGTGGAAGAATTCCCTTAGCCATGGAGATTTCTCAAGCAGATAACACTAGCTCTGCCTTGCTAGACACATTCTCACGCTGTGTAATGGATACAGCTCCTTCAGTGTGTAAGTCTGTATTGTGCCTTACAGAGACTCCAGACACAGCTATCATGTGTGAATATGAAATCTCTCTGTATTAGCCTCCTACCCTGTTCTCGTTAAGATTACCAGTGACGTTTCTAGAGATACAGGATTTTTTTCATCACAGAAACATCAGTCACACCTGGCTGCACAAGGACTTTTTGTGCCCTTCAACCAGATTTGAAACTCAAATCTCTCATTCTGGTGGCAACAACAGCTGGAAATCAGAAATTTCAAAAAGCCCTTGAGATTTAGGCAGTGTAAATGTGACAGTGGCTTTTGGATTTACAAATCTTTAAAACTAAGGTAAAGGTATTGCAAGGTATTTAAGACAGGCACGTCTGGTCATCATGTTAAATCTGTTTGGCCAGTTGGGAATATTTATTCCTCAGAAGACTTATCTGCTAAAGACAAGCTTAAGCACAAGCTACTGATTTAATTTTTTCCAAAGGTCAGGGCTTCTGTGCTTTATTAAGGGGTCATGCATTGTGGGTTTCTCATTTGTGGAGGTGGAGTTTGTGCTGGTGCCTGATTAAACTCAGGTAAATAAAGCCCCCATCACCACATCAGCCACCACTGATACCTGTTCATGTTGCTCATTCCCTTTTGCTCGGGTTGCATGAACTTCACTGAACCCTTACACAGAAATTATGCAGTTAGAGCAGCCCTGTCAATCCAGTCGAGCCTGGACCACCATCCTGCCTTTTCCCCCTGAAGGAACCACATGAGCAATAGGGAATGGAGCAAAACACATCATTCCTTTTTCCCCCACTAAGAAACCCCAGTGTAGCCTTGTTTACCTGTGCTGCAACCCACCTGGCTGCGTGGGTGTCACAGGGAGAACAGGTGTTGATGTGCTCCCTCTTCCCTGTGACACCTCATCTGCCATCCCGTGTTCTGCAGATCTTCAGCCAGGCTGACACATCCCTCAAGCGCTGGATCCTGGAATTTGCGGCGAGACGGAAAAAGGCTGAAGTTCGAAACGGCATCATTAGAAATGACAGTTTGTGGGATAAGCTTTTCTTTAATAAAATACAGGTAAGGGATTCAAGAAGTGAGTCTGAAGTCAAAGAACTCTAGTTTTGTCTAGCAATGACTGGTTTTCTGACAAGGGAGTTTCAGACAGCAGGAAAAATTTCTTCATGGATAGGGTTGTCAAGCATTGGAACAAGCTGCCCAGGGCAGTGGTGGAAGTGTTAAAAAAGGATGTGGATGTGGCAGTTGAGGACATGATTTAGTGGTGAAGATGGTGCTGGGTTAACGGTGGAACCTGATGACTTTAGAGGTCTTTTCCAGTCCTAACAATTCTATGAGTCTATGATTCCTTAAAGTTAGTGTAGTCCACTTGCGTGATTATGAACTGTGGGCAATCACTATTCACTAGGGAACAACAGACTGGAAAATGGAATAGAAAAAGGGAACTGAGCACAGTTTGTTGCTCCATGAAGTTTTGCCACATCTATTTTTATTTTTTTGGTTTTGTTTTTAAACGCCATGCATAATGTCAAAATTTCAATTCTCTCAAGGTTAACTTTCTAGAGGGAAAAGGAGAAACACAAGGCAGGATAAGATGACATTTGCCACATCCCTCTTCAGCAGCACCAAGAAATCACTAATTTATGTAATAGTGCCAAAAATTTTTTGCAGCTCTCAGATACAAACTGTACCCCTGCAGGGGAGGAAAGGTATCTAGGAATGAAATTCAGAAAGGTGGTTATGAAAAGGAGTCACTGATCAAAGAGATCCTGCTCCAAAGTGTTCTGCAAAATCTCAACAAATAGGATTGGATTTAGGGTTGGGTTTCAGTTGGGCATATTCAAACCTACTTTTCCTCCTAAGAAAAGAAAGAGGGTTGTAAAGAAAAAAGCACACATGAATCATGGTTTAGCAACCACGAAGAAAGAAATCAGAATGCCCTTCTGCTTCCCACACATCTCAGTAAAAAAAGAGATTAAATTAGCTTTAAACCATTTTTAGGCCTCTGTACTACTCCAGGAGGCTCTAATTACTTCATTTTTTTAATTGGATGACTTATCTGGAGAAATGCCACTTTATTTTTAACTAAAGAAACTGACTGTACTTGTGGTCTGTGGATTAGTTGTCCTCAGTGTGCCGATAGCAGAGTTCACCCAGCCGGGAGCGAGCCATGCTGCATATTGATGTGAGGGCTGGCGAGACGGGCAGACTCAGTCAGCAGTTGTTTTCTTTTGTGCTGGGTTTTCTTTTTTACTTCTAGAATAAAGAAAAGGAAATGAAAGGGGAGGAGAAATAAGTAAAATAGGACACAGGAATTGATGTAATACCCTCCAGAAATATTTGAAGGTCATCTGCCTTAAAAAAGGGACAACTTTATTTTAGAGGGCTTGGGAGGCAATTCATTAAAACCAGTGAGGTGTAAATAAGCAAAGAAGACTGGATGGGGAAGAGTCTGTTTTTCCCAGCAGTTCCCAGAGCCAGGTCTGCAGCCTGCCCAGGCACAGCAGTTGCAGGAGCCCAGGCTGAGCATCTTTGTCCTGCCAGGGACATGAGCACTCCTGTCTCTGTACACAGAATGGGGTTTTATCCCTCAGGAAAGATTCAGAGCTAGTTCATATTTCCATATATCGCCACATCACAGAACCACAGACTGGCTGGGTTTGAAGTCTCCTTGAAGTTCATCTAATTCTGACCCCATGCCGTGGGCACAAAGTCCTGCACATCTATTCTAGAGAGAGCATTTTGTGCAAGCTCACGGTTTTGCCATCTGCAGTAGCTTCTGATGCTTTCTTTTGTTTCCTTCTGCTACCAAACAGGCAAGTCTTGGGGGGTGTGTCCGTATGATAGTGACAGGCGCTGCCCCTGCGTCCCCGACTGTCCTGGGCTTCCTCCGCGCGGCCCTCGGATGCCAGGTGGGTTTGTGTGGCTGTTCAGGGATGTACATCCACTGCTGGCAAGAGAACACGTGGTATTTAAGAAAGGAGATGGGTTAGACCCTCAGAACTACATTTAGGACAGCTGTACCAGGATGGATCAAACAGCAGGGCTTGGGGCAGCCATGAAGTCCTGGTACACCCGGAGCTCAGTAGGGTGGGAACAGCCCTGGGATGGCAGTAACAGGCAAGAGAAATTTTCACTTTGGGCATCTCCCAAAAAAACCCCACAGGCTCATCCCACCCACCTCTCAGCACCAAACTGAGTATGTGAAATTACATGTGTATGTGCAAGTGCTGGGAACTTCATTACAGAAGTTTTATTCTATATATAAATGGAGAAAGCTAATCCTCAGACATCAGCCTAACCCACTTGAGGTGTCCACTGCATTATTTGTCTGTGATAGGAAGCCCAGGGCAACTAAAAGGTCTCATCTGAGAGCCTAAAATTAGTCAAGGAAAAAAAAAAAAGGTGAATTTTCAAAATGTCCCACAAAAATACCATATTTTCCCCACTAATAAGTTCCTCTCATAGTGTAGCATATGTCCTTACTCAAAGGCTAAGTGCTCAACTCATCATCTCCTGTTTTCAACGATCCATGGTCTTTCCTAGTTATGTAAATGGAATTTTGTACACTAGAAGTCAGGGACAATGTCCCCATGGCAAATGGTCACTCACACATTGCAGCTCCAGCCTCAGCTCACAGGACTGTGCAACAGAGGGCAATGCTTGGGATTTCAGTTTATATTAGCAAAATCTTTTATGGTCTTTTAAAGATACCCATCTCTTCGTCAGGTTTATGAAGGCTATGGCCAAACAGAATGCACAGCTGGATGCACCTTTACAACTCCAGGTGACTGGACATCAGGTAATTCTTTTCTTCCACCATTTGAAGAAATAAAAGAAATGCACTTTCCTTTAGGAAATTTTGGACTGTAACATCAAGGGCAGGTTGGATGGGGCTTGGAGAAACCGGATCTAGTGGAAGGTGCTCCTGCTCATGGCAGGGGGTTGGAATGAGATGAGTTTTAAGGTCCCTTCCAACCCAAACCACTCTATGCTGTTTCAGAACAGGTTTTATATCCAAAAAGGAGGTGTTGGTATTTAGCTTTAATAGTGCAAAACCTTAATTAAGGAAATTATTTCTGCACACAGACACAGCTCCTGCAAGAACATCCAGTGTATCTACAACTATGCAAGTAACTAATGATAAAATGCTAATTATTGTTTATAGGAGAGATGACAAGTGACTTGATAACTTTGATTTCCAGGTCATGTAGGAGCCCCTTTGCCCTGTAACTTAATCAGATTGAAGGATGTGGAAGAACTGAATTATTTTGCTTCCAAAGGAGAAGGAGAGGTAGCAAATCACATTTTTATATCAAATTCTCACTAGTTAACACTGTATGAAGTAGTTTATAGAAGCATTTTACCTTTGTAGTGTGCATGGTTGCTGATGTGTTACATCATGCAATCAGGAAAGGAAAATGGAAGTTTAACAACAGAGCAGCACAGAATTAATGAAAAAGGAGCTGTGGAAGTACTTCCAGCCTAATTCCTTGAACTGCTAAGACTGAATTAATTAGTTCAGCTAAGAAGAGCTGAATTGCTATGATTTCTACATTTCTGTGATTTCTATACTACACAAAAATTAAACTTACTGAAATAACTTTGTTATTTTTAACTGCAAATGGAATGCAAATCAACTTCAAACAAATCAGTTTTGCAAAACCTGCTTCATATTTCCATTAGCTTGAAAAAAATCCATATATAGTTTAATAACCCAATCTATTTTAGTTTCATGGAGCACAGTCATTAAAATATTTCAAATTTTGCGAGTTAATACTTAACTTGTATTTATAGCAGAACAAGAAAATAATTAATCATCAACCCTGGTTGTTTTGCAGATCTGTGTGAAAGGACCCAATGTGTTTAAAGGTTACTTGAAAGATGAAGAGAGGACAGCTGAGGCACTGGACCAGGAGGGCTGGCTTCACACAGGAGACATTGGCAAATGGTTACCTGTGCGTACTGGACACACTCAGAGTTCTTACGGCAATTGTATTATCCCAAGTAAATTTTCAAGGACTGAACTTAGGTCTCCAAGCAGGTCTATCTTTACAAAGGATTGAGTTTATATTTGGCAGAATAAGCATTTGAAAGCACAACAGGCAATTGAAAACTCTGTTAAAGACAGACTGCTTGCTGAGTTTCTGTGGTTAAATAACTTCTCTGGGAATTCTCATTTCTTTCTCCTAACAGAATGGGACCCTTAAAATTATTGATCGGAAAAAGCATATATTTAAACTTGCTCAGGGAGAATATATTGCACCAGAGAAGATAGAGAATATCTACATCCGCAGTGACCCTGTTGCTCAGATCTATGTGCATGGAGACAGCCTGCAGGTACAAACTAAGCTTTGAGAAAATTTTACTTTACTCTTAGTAGTTAGAAGACAGAGCTGGGCATGAAGGAAGGAAAAATGTGAGTGGATCATGCCACATTTTCTCCCTCCTGCTTTGGAGCTGGCTGACAGCCAGGCAGGAATTGAGTTGCTGGTGTGACCCTGAGCAGCTTAGAGAGAATGCTGTGGCTGAAGATCAAGCTTTTAAGTTGGCTTTGGTGTCACTCTGTGGGTCTCCAGTGCTGTCCTTTGCCACCATGCCTGTGGTAAGCCAGGAAAAGGTAAAGCCACTGCTGCCCCCCACACACACTGCCTGCCCATTCTGACCAGCCTGTTCTGTTAATTTGCGCATTCATACACACACCTACAGTTTTTGAAACCAAAATGGCAATTCATCCTCTGCATTCAAGGCTCACAAGAATGAGCCTTCCCTTCCCAGAGTTTGCCTGGAACTTGCAGGGCCATGGGAGTTATTAATGCCCAGGAGGAGCACAAACCCAGCTGAGGGTACTAAAACTGCTGGTAAATGCACACAGACAAACTTTTATCTGAGAAAAAGGCACAGACATCAGAATGTGCTTCATGACGATATGTTAGCAAATTACTGACATAATTAAACAAGAAGTAGTAAACATGCAGAAATTCAGCTGACTTGTGTATTCACTTCAATGTAAAGCCTGGAATGTGGTGCAGCTTTTGCCTGCAACTCTCCTTCTCCTTTACCTACAGGCCTTCCTGGTGGGAATTGTGGTGCCTGATTCCGAAGTCATGCCAGGTTGGGCAAAGAAAAGAGGGTTTGAAGGAACATATGCAGAACTCTGTAAAAATAAGGTTTGTATCTGCAGTACAGACTTTTTTTTTTTTTTTTTTTTTTTTTTTTTTTTTTTCTGTAGCATTATGTGTGCACAATACTGTGTCTAGGAATGACCAGTTCAGTGACAAGAATTATTTCCTCACTGAACATTCAGCAGGGTTGACCTGGACCCAATGATAGGTGTTGACTGGTGGTACTGACCTAGGCCAGCTCTGGTGTGGGAGGGCCAAGAGTCTGTCTTGCAGAGAACAACAGTACAGCACGAGGAGGAGTTGTGTTTGCTTAGATTTCTTAAATAAGACAACTAAATAAGTCTTCTCTGTGGGGACCAGCAACAGAACCAGAGGGAAGGGTCTGAAGTTGTGTCAGAGGAGGTATAGGTTGGTATCAGGAAAAGGTTTTTCCCAGAGAGGGTGGCTGGGTGCTGGAACAGGCTTCCAAGGGGACTGGTCACAACATTAACTCTGACAGAGCTCAGAGGAGCATTTGGACAACACTCTCAGGCACATGGTATGACTCCTGGGGCTGTTCTGTGCAGGGTTGGGAGTTGGATTCCATGGTTCTTGTGGGTCTCTTCCAGCTCAAGACATTCTGAGTTTCTATACAAAGGACCCCAGTCTTAAACACATGCTCTGTAGTACTGAGGAATTGTATTGGGTCACATCGATAAGTACTGATGCCACTGAACCACTGGTGTTTGTGGACAATGATTCTGCATTGAAGTCTGGCAGGTGGCTGAAGAACTGTAAATTTAACAGCTATGTCACATAGCTGGGTTGAAAATAGAGCCTTACTTTTCATACCAAGGAGACACTTAACATTGCCATACTTAAGTGTAATGTTTACATATTACCATAGAATTTTGCTAATTATATATTAACTGTTAGTAAGGCACTTGAACTTTACTCAGAAACACTTTTTTGGTGAACAATGAACATTAATTGCATGTAATTGACTATGGTAGCTCATGGGGAATTTCTGTGTTTTAATGCAGGAACTGCAGCAAGCGATAATGGAAGACATGGTACGGTTAGGGAAGGAGAGTGGACTTCACTCCTTTGAGCAGGTAAAATTAAACACATCATTCAGTGTGGTCAGACAGGCAATTTGACTGTATAGAAGAGGGATTTGTCAGCATTTATCATGCTACTACAAATCTTTGTCGCAGCTGTACATGATGTTTTTGGAAAGAGCTTTATTGCTGGCAAGTTGTATTTATTCCTTTGGAAAAATGTATTTGCTGCGATTCTGCTTCCCACCCATGCTTGAAATTTGAATTAAATTTAGTGGAAGTTTTGGGTGCAGAGATCAAAATCTAAATCAGGGACATGGATAATCTCCAGACTGACAACCAGAGGTCAAGATGAACATCTGTAGGAGTCTGACTTTTCTGCCACTGAAAGCTCTGTTAGAAATTGGGTCACTAATTACTACTCTTATACCTGACCTTGAAATGCTGCTGGTGTCTTTATTTTTAGTCTGGGCACTAGTTCTTTCCTGCTTGTGTAAATATTTCTGCAATAGAACTACATCTCAGAAGGGGAGATCTGAAATCAACCATGGTCTACATAGCATTAAAAACACAGAAAAATTATCCACCCCATTTTAAAATGTCAAAGGCTTCTTTCTGTTGAAAAAGCCAAATATCTTTATCATTATATATAATTAGCAAGGGCTTTTTTGCTTTTGTTAGGACTGTTTCTGGGTGATAATTGTAATGAGTAATTCACCATACTGGAGTGGAACAAAAGCATCATTAAACATAACCCTGTTATTCTTAATTTGTCAGTTACCTATGCAAATGAAACAACACCTAAAAGAAATTTATTTTAAAATAATTCCATATAAAGCATCGTTTTTAATGCACATAATTGTCTGTGCCAATAAGTCTTGTTTGCCTCTGCCAAGGCCTTCACAGTATGAAATATCCTCAAGTAATCAATTCCACCAGCAGGTTTCAATTAATAAAATACTGAGGAAAGCTTTGTCATCATCCTAAAAGTTGGGATACAATAATAATAGAATAGAATAAAAAAAAAAATTATACAAATTTCAAAATTAAAGGGCTTCAAAACTTCATCTCTGTTGCAATATGTAATCTTAAGACTTTGAGCCAGATTCTGTGGCTAATGCTCATGTGGGATGGGATCCCCTGTTTATGGGATACTCTTTATCATCCCTGTCCTTGTCTGCAGCTTGGATTTCTGTCTTGGGAATGACAAGTGTGACTTCTATAAGCATCAGCTTCCAGGATCTGAAAACTAATGCAGCAAATGGGGGAGCATTAATAGCTCGAACACTGATTTATGAAGGATTGCATGGGGGCAGGACCTGGACCATGATGCTTGCAGGGAAAGATGAATCACATATCTAAGGAATAGAAAATGGATTTGCAGCCTATATCACTGCAGCTCCCAGCCAAACAAACTGCAAAGCAGTCTGGCTTGGGGAATCACAAAAGCAGCAGATGGCTGGGGAATTTTATCTTAAATCGGTGGGCTCTGACCAGTCACGCAGCAGTTTTCTGCTTTCTCCGACACCAGCATGGGAAGGAAAAGCTCACTCCCATCTGTGCTGCCAGGCTCCCCACTGTGCTCAGAGCCACTGCCTCAAACAAGGGCAGCCTTGTGAAATGACATTTGCAACAGCTAAAGTATTTATATCATTTTAATTAGCTAAAGATGATAATCATGTACACCTGTGCATGTCTTGTGCCAGCAAAGCTTCATGATAATTTTGAGATATTGAATCAATGCTGTTTACTTTTGCAGTGGGGTTAAGTTGAGGTTTCCTAGCACAACTCCCTGCCTTGACCCTCTCCCCCACTGCCTTTCAGCTGTGTGAAACTGCAGTGACAATATTAGTCTGTCCCTTGTACGCTGCCTTGCTGTGCTCTGGCCGTGCTTTCCTACAGAAAAGAAGTTTATGTGCTCATTCTCTTGGAGAGCTCCCTTCTGTGGGCAGGGGATGGAAATCCTGGGGACTCAGCAGAAGAGTGCCCTGGACTTGAGGCACCATCAGGGGGAAGCACAGCAAAAAAAAGTTAATGTTTATTCAGTGTGATGCCTGTAACCTTTACTATAAATATATTCCTCTTATATTTTAGGTCAAAGCCATTTACATTCACTCTGATATGTTCTCGGTGCAAAACGGTTTGTTGACACCAACATTAAAGGCTAAGAGACCAGAACTGAGAGATTACTTCAAAAAACAAATAGAAGAGCTATATTCAAGCATCTCCATCTGAAATCACAGGAAGAATCTTCTGAGTAATGGACTTCATAGCAATATTAGAATAATACTCAAAAACTACAGAGCCAGAATGACACTGCTGAAATGGATAAGCATCTGAATCTTACATTTGAGCCTTTCATTTTTCTAGCATTTCATCAGTAACCATATTTTCCCTTCTTTTTGCCATCAGGTGTGATACAATTTCTTTTTTACTCTAGGTACACAGTAAGGCACTACTAAAAGCTATGCTAAATTGCCACAAAATATCAGAAATTTCAATCTATGACCAAGTAAATTATAGAAGCATATCTTATAAATAACTACAAACATTTCTAGTTAAAATAGGGAAAATTTCAGGTATGTCTGTTGATATTTGATTATATACAACCTAATATATTAGAAACTAAAATAAGTAATTCAATAATGTGGTCTACCTCAAATAATCAGTGACTGATGGTGAAAGTAAAAATCTATGTTCTCTGATGTGGAACTTCAAGCTGGATATTGGTCTATATAGTAAGTGATAGTTTTTTATATTTTTCAGAACATAAATGACATTGATTTGATTTAATCATTGATGACTTAACAATCAGAACAGAAATAGGAAGGAATTTCCCACTATCTGTACTTAATAGACCTATTAGTATGTTACATCTAATGAATTCATGTTACTTGGAAATGACAAGAACAGGGTAGGAAGCAATAGCACAGAATTCCCTCTATTTCCTTTTCATCCAAACACAGATTATCCATGGTATGCAGATTCTGCATTAGGGCTCCTTCAGTCCAGTGCACCCACGGACACCTGAACTGCTCAAACGGAGAAGGCTGCAAAAGCATCACTGGCTCTGTGGTGGCTTTAGGTGGGGGTTCACGATAATCCATATGCTCCCAATCCCTAATTTATTACTTCACATGCTGCTAATACTGTGTAGTCCAGCTGGACTAACTCCCTTTCAGAAACAGCGCTAAAGAAATGGAGCACAAGGAATAAGCTGTGATTCTGGATGGGGCTTAGCAAAATGGAAAGGTCTGGGAAAAGGCCAGCCTGAGATGTAGCAGTGGAGTGCATCCTTTGTCTGGCCATGGAAGGGGAAGGAATACTGCCCCAACAGACTCATGGGGATGGGCTAAAGGCTGTGTTAGCTATCGCTGTGCAAGATGTCACTGTATGGCAGAACAGTGGATGTGGTGGCAGAAAGGCCTGTCATGAGAACGTCGTTATGGTCAGACATCTGGAAGCTTCAAATCCCATTGGCATCACCTCCAATGGCCTCTCTGGAATAACCAGCAAGTTGTCTGGATAAAACCTTACACTTCTGTGGTCATCAGAAAGGGGATAAGTCTCATAAGGAGTAGGAACAGACTCCAGGGCTCCCTCTTGGTACAAAGCATGGTACAAGGCAAAGAGAAAACTGTCATGTCAAGTTGCTTGAATATTTGGACTGTCGATAGCTTCTTCTGCTAAACAGGGTCCTAAATATCTGTGTATTTTACTAGCTGATGTTTGTTGCACTAGTATATGCTAACATGGAGCTGTGCCTGCTAGATATTTCCTAGGACAGTGGAAGAACACTGATTTTCTCTCTTAAAGTGGAATCTACTGTAGACTTCTGAAGCTAAAAGTTTAAAATTTTTAATCTAAACAGTATCTTATTTTCTCTCTGAAGTTCTGTTGCATGCTTCCAAACGAAATAAATTAATAAGTTAGTGTTTTACAAAGACAGATTTATTGCAGTGATTTCAGAATAAAATGATACATAGGAAACCATATCAGTAACATAATGACTCAAAGAATGTGACAGTTTGATTTATCAAATGTGCGTTTATCCGAATCCCTTTATGCATCTGATTCCTCATTTGATTTCGGTGCAGTGACTCATATCAGTCCAAAGCAAGTAAAGAAATATATGAGATCTGATGGGATCATAATTTTTCACCAATGTGTGCAGCAATAGCATCCATGGGGAATTTTGTGTGCCACGTCAATGGAGGATAGGGATTACTGCATAAAATCTGGTTCTTTAGGTCAAGTCATAAAGGATTTTTATCTCAGTGGAGTTTAGTTCATATCCTTTCTGTATCAGCCAAAAGACAATCATTACATACACAACCTTCAAAGCAATGGAGAATTAAATTCAGGACAATTTCCTGTCTGTTTTAATGCAACAGTTTTAAAATTAAAAACCCCAAACCCTAGTCATCTAAGGAAGTAGAGACAAGCTATTTTTCACTGAGGTTTTTCTTGCCATTTGAATTCTTGTATAATGAGATTTTCCTCTGCAGGTCACTCTCTCACCAGAATCATAACGATATAAGAAATTAACACTTGAAAAAGAGATATGCATAAGGCATGAGCTGGGCTCAATCCTACTTCTCTTCAAATTCCAGGCATATTTATTTTGTACTGAGCTTTCTTAAATTGAAACACTTGTGGCCACCAAGGAAAAACCCCCAGGGCTGTCCAATAACCAGTTTTTGGGGTTTTTGGGTTTTTTGTTTTTTGTTTTGTTTTTTTTTTACCTTAAGATAACTAATTACAAAATTAGTTTAAATTATTCATGCTAAAGAGTGGCAATGCTTTTTGCAGTCAGTTTTACAGTTGCAGTACTGCATTCTTGATTCTTCCTGGGCCTGGTGCTATGCCTGTGGAATCACTGGAAGACTGTCTTATAAGTCTAAAGACTTAAAAAAACACAATAAAATACATTTTTCAGGAACAGGCTTTTACTTAGTTATATATTTTGTATGTTCTTTGCTTGATATATTGCACAGAAAAAAATCTGTTCTGCCAAAATGCACAGAGTGTGAGCAGAAACCAGACCAGAGTCTTTAACCCCATGTAGGCAGGAAATACATTGAAAAATTCTGTCCTGAAAGGCACATTTGCAAGTTAAAATGCTTGATGCACATCAGGCGAGACAGAGATGGTGAGTTTTTATTGGTAAAGTACCATTTTGCAATCTGTTTGTCAGCAACAGTAAAGTCCAATCTCATTTTTGCCATGAATATAAAATTCTCATGTGTAACAAAACAATCTGACCTTAACCTCTGGAATGAAAAAAATAACTTAATGTTTTGGGTTTTTTTTTCAGTTTTACATGTGTTAAAAGCACAAACTGCTGATCTATATGTAAATAAATGCTACAAGATGAATGTAAAATGGGAAAGAATATACTATTTTTGCATGATAACAGGTGACTTAAAGACCTCTTGATGCCTTAGAAAAAAATTGAAAAAGCATTTTATTTAGAGGAAATTCTGTTGTCTACCTTTTGTATCTTTAGTTCATTTTGGTATTTTCTAGGGGAAAAAAAAAATCAGAATTTAATCATTGTTTCTTCTTGGAATTGATGTTCTCAGTATTTTACACATTTGGTGGTTTCTATACCACCTATGTGCCTGTGAAACAGTGAGGCTTTCCAGAAAAGAAATCTGGATGCCTGTAGCCTAGAAGTGAAAAAGTCTTAAATCCCTTGAATTCTTCCACAGAAAAATGTTTTCTGAGGCATCTGGAGTCCCTTTAAGCCCTTCATTTCAACTTTTTGTTATGCATTTTAGCAAAGTAAAAGCAGCCAACGAATGAGGCATTTTGGTAAGTGTTGCCTATTGCATTTTCAACTGAAAGTGAAGGGGGGTAAAATTTAACATATACATTTGTGTAAAAAAAGAATTCTAACTGTTATTAAAATTTTTTCAGTTTTGGTATATTAGCATGTATATCAAAGAGTCGTCTATGGAAACTTTTGTAAAGAACTAAATTTTCACCTTTCTCAAAACTGCTCATAAGATTTCTCGTGGACTTACATACAATAAAAGCTCTTTTATAAAATCTGTTTTTCCTCTAGCACTTTGTCCTCACCATTGGTATGAAGTCATTGGGAATGTGTGGCTAAACTAAACATGTTGTAAAAATAAGAAAGTATGTAAAAATAAAATAGTGACCAAAAGCATATTGGGACATGAGATTGATTTTAGCAATCTCCTATGAAAACCAACTGATGCAAAGTTCTCTGAAGATGCAGCAGTCTTTCTGTAATGGTTTCGATTTTAATTTTAAATACGTAATACTATAACCACATGTATATGCTTGTTTAATATGAATTGCAATTGGGAATGCATAGTATTTTTTCAGATTGTGTCTAAACCAATAAAGTTTCAAAGCATATGGGCTCTAGTCCGGTTTTTGTGTGCACTTTCCCTTCACTCGGAAATCCAGAAACGCCTGGAAGTGCCCAAAGCCGGGTTGGATGGGGTTTGGAACAACCTGGTGTGGCAGAAGGGTCCCTGGCTGGCAGGGCAGGGGGTGGAATGAGATTGTGTCTGGGGTCCCTTCAACCCAAACCATTCTGATCCTCTACGCTGTTTTTTCAGGTAACGACGCAATGAGATTGCTCCTCTCTATAACATGAAGCTGAAACACGGGGTCAGACCAGTACAGATTATCACACACACGATTTATGCGCACCATTTTCATACAGGAGTTTTGTCTCTGTGAGGGCAGCAAGGCTCTGGCACAGGATCGGGCGAGGGTTGGACGTGTACAGGGATTATCACACATAGGATTTATTTGCTTCGTTTTCATAAGGGAGTTTTATCCCTCTGAGGGCGGCAAGGCGCTGGCACAGGGTCAGACCAGTACAGGGTTTATCACACACACGATTTATTTGCTCTGTTTTCATACGGGAGTGTTTTCCCCACACCGCCGCACCCGCCGACGACGCCGCCGCCCTCAGCCGCCCCTCGTGCGGGCCGGTCCCTCACACGGGGCGCGCGCGGCCGCCCCGCGCATGCGCGCTGGGCTGCGGGGGCAGTGCCGCCTGAGGGGCCGCGGCGGCGGCAGCGGCGGCCCGGGCTGCCCTGGGGCTGCCATGGAGCGGGACCGCGCGTTCCGCGCTCCCCGCGCCGCCAAGCCGCCGCGGAAGAAGCGCCGCTCGTCCCCTCTGCCGGGGGCGGCCGCTCTCCAGGGCAGCCGGGCCGGCGGCTCCCAGATGTGCCGGCGGCGCCTCTTCGGGAGCGCTGGGCCTCGCGGGCCCGAGCCCGAACCCGCCTGTAAGCGCCTGTGCCGGGCGGCGGCGGGGCTGGGTGCAGGAGGCTGGGCCGGTACTGGCGGAAAGGGTCGGGGAAGGAGGACCCTGCGGTGTGTTCTCCTGGGTAAAGATGCTGGGCAGGGTAATGCGGCCAAGATTTTTACCAGTAGCGTCCTCGGTGGTCCCCAAAGGTTTGTTCTTCACACGGGTGCCCAGCGCAGCGGGTCCTGTGTGAGGCTGGTGGGTGGTTTCTTGTTATCCATGTCCTTCACCGCTTGGAGAAAGCACACTGCTGTTCTGGAAACAGAAGTGTTAGTTTTCGGTAGCAAGAAGAAGGATTTTTCCTTCTGTAAAGCACCTCCCCTCCATTTAGTCGAGTTGGATGGCAGCATCGAGAAATGGCAAGACAAATGCCTTGCTTACATTTGAGAGAATATCTTAAGAATTCTTTGAAGTTACTCAAAAGGAGCTGCCTCGTTGTTGAACGCAGTGCAGCAGATACCAAGCCAAGCATTTGAGACCTGTTAAGAAAAAATGGAGTTCAAGGGAAGGGATGGGAATCATGTGAAGCCTGACAGAGCACGGGGAACACCAGCATGGGATGTCTTGATCTTGGTAATTTAAAAGTAAAGCTTTGCTGTGATGGGGTGCAGCAAACATTTGTTATTGCCTTATTCCTGCTCTGCTGGCCCTGCTCTTGTATGTATTTAATGCTCCTGTACACAACCAGCCACCTGGAGGTCTTCCATATGCTTGGAAAAAAAAAAAAAAAAAGAAAAGGATGACTCCTGTCCATATATCATCCTGTCCTGAATTCCCAGGAAGCTTCAGCTGAAGGGCTCTGTGTGGCCCTGGGGAAATGCAGTGACTCAGACCCAGATTTTAGTGTGGGGATGGACGCTCCTTTTTCGTCATAAAAGTGTAACTCCAGAAAGTTTGACTGCTTTTAGCTCTTAGATAATGAAAGCAAAGCACACAGCTAAATGACTCATAAAATTTGTTTTAGGGTAAGAAAATATGTCTCTGAAATTTGCTGGTTACTATTTAATTGTGTTGTTAGTGCTATTTGGGATTATATACAGTGAGCTGGTTACTGATTAATTGTGTTGTTAATGCCATTTGGGATTATATACAGTGAGGACCAGTTTATGTAGAAATCATCGATACTCCTAATAAACACCATTTAAAACTGATTCGTACTCAAATGACTGAATCAAGGTAAAGGTTGCTTCCAAGGTGGTGGAGTTTTTTCCATTTAAACAACAGGTTTCTAAAACATGAGAAGTATTTCTTTAGGTCTGCTTTTCATTTTGTCTTGATATATTGCTGAAAAAAGCAAATTCAGATTTTACATTGTTTGTGATAATAGGGTCAAAAAGTGTTATTAATGTAGAAGGTAGGAACAGCTAAATTAGAAATAATAATTAAATTCTAATGTTGAAATTGCCATTACTGAACTAAATATTTATTCTCTAGGCCTGAAGAAAAAGCCCAGTCGGAAAAACTTACCAAAGATTAAAGAAAATGTTGAATATACTGAAGAGAGCTCTTCATGCAACCAAAGGTCAGCTAGAACTCATTCAAACATACCATTGTTAAGACTTGCTAGTAAATTAGATAGTTTTGTCTTGTGAGATGTCTCTTGGAGCAATGCAGTCTGAATTATCAGTGCACTGATGTTTGTCAGATTATTTACTGACACCCCATAAACACATTTTGGAGTTGTTGCTTTTGTCTAAAGCAGTGTAGCTCTATGATTGGACTTGGTTCTGTTCTGCAGCAATCAAGTGACTGTCAGAGAAACAACAGACTTCAAGATAAAAGATGAGGAACCAGAAAAAAACAGTGTACCACTGAAGGTGAGAATGCACTCTTGCTTTTTATCTACTAGTGATGGAGGGCAAGTCAGAGAAATGTGACACATTAAATTATTTTTCTATTCAGGTAAAATTTCCTCTGTGAGCCCAGACATCTGGGCTTGGTCCTAATTTTGGTTTACATTTTCTGTGTATTTGGCCAGAATAAAAACTGTTGGAATGACTAATAGCATGAGAAAACATCAATACTAGTTATCTTGGATGAGGCAAGGCTGTAGGAATTGTGCTGTGCGGAAGAGATCTCAGTAGATTGTGATTCCAGAGAATTGCTCGCTTCTGTCGGGCACAGACCTCTGACGTGTCACTGATGCTCTTTATTGTGTTATTAAAACTGGAACAAAGCAATTGGAGGTGGTGGTGCAGAAGTGTTACAGGACAGTTAATACTGCAATGGCAAGAGAATAGTGCACCAGGTGTGTTTTAACTGAAATCTGCTGCAGCAAAGGGCACAGGTGATACTGGTATAAAACTGTTTTTCTTTAAAATGTTAGCTCTTCTTTAGAGTCTACCAATTATTTACATTTTCTACAAAATGCCTAGTTTTGTAGAATCTACTGCCTATACATCATAGATGTATAGAGATGAGTACAAAGAGTTTGTATTTACAGAAATGATGTAGGGTTCTGAAAGTGAGGACTAGGTGTCTGGGAAAAAAAAAAAAATCTCAAGACAGTGAAGTTCATTACTCCACCTCTGTTGTGCCTAAGCTCAGTTGATGTCAGTATGCCTTCAATGGCAGTCTCATCCAGCAAAGATGGCAGGATCAAATGATGGGATATTTGTCATGAATTTTAGAGCTGTAAGTTTGCAGATTTGTTAATGTGCATGAAAAATCCTGCTACAAATCATGCTGTGAATAGCAGGCTTAAGTGGTGAAGTACTAGACAGTTTTTTCCTGCTGTAGGATGATATTTAAATGCCTTTCTTTCTCTACATTCAGTTTTCTCAGGTTGTTTGTATTGGTCTTTTAATTCTAGGATTACAAAATAGTCAACTTTGAAAGTAAAGGAAGTTTAAAAAATGCTGAAGTGACTTCAAGTAAGTATAATGGCAATACATTATATTATTAAATATATTTGATATTGATAATAAACTGAATGTAAAATTTCTGATATAATTTTATTTCTATAAAAGTACTGGTCTTATACTGTGTTTTTGTTGTACTGGTTCTGACTGTGTGATTAGAAAGTGAGGGTTTTGATACCACTGGCTGGACTTATGCCTCTTACTGCAGCCTCTGGCTGGACTTGAACCAGTTGGTTGTAGGCAGCACAGACAGACCCACAGCACCTGAGACAGTCTTGAGCTCAGCCTGTTGGAAGCCACACGATCTTGCTTTTATCATTGACAGAACTAGTTGTGGACAGGAGTTCTTCAGTTCACTCAAACCTGCATTTCTAAAAGCTTGTGACCTATTTAAGAATTGTCCTGCTAGAGGCTATATTCTTCAGGTATATCTTGTGAGCCATGAGCCACGAGCCTTTGCTTATGGTAATGTATGGAAGTAAACAAAGGATGCCTTTTGTTTGTTTCTTTAACTGTATTTTGACTTATTATATGATGAGTGACAATTTTTAACTCATTACAGGAATGAAACTCAGATAAGGAAATCTTGATGGTTTGTACAAGATGATAGATTTGTTAGCCACATTTTTTGTCTCTTTTTCTAGGTACAGAAATTACTCTTCCCACAGGTGTTTCCACCTTTCTCATAGAGTGTTTAGATGAAGATTCAGCTGCAGATTATAGCACTGCTAGTGACAGCCTGAAAACTTACTCATCTCCTGAAACGTTCAGAGATGATGATTCCGGTGAGACTTTTGGGCAATTTTTTTTCAGGTTTGTTTGATTTATAAAATGCAGGGAGACTGTCTACAATAGAAAGACTTGTGGCCTCCCTTGGTGTGACTCACCAGGTCACATCCTTGCTATAAACCTGTGCTAACATGGAATCGGTGTATCTGTCCTCTAATCTGGTATGAATCAGGTCTTTGTGTAATTTGAATCCTACTTTAAACCTAAAGTATTCATTATTGACACAAGCTGTTTATTGGGAATGAGCCACAAACATGTGTTCAGCCAAATTAATTCCAAACTTTTCTGCAGCTGTTTGAGCCAAGACAGTGCTTTAATTTTGCTTTTTAGTTCCTGTCCTGCAAATGTGATTGCTTTCAGTTTGGTCACAAATGTAATAACTCAATGAATTTCAGCATAAGAAATCTGCACTTATATTTTTTAGGTCCAGAAAGATGCAGTTTTTACTCTGTGGACCTTGGCAAGTACAAGAACTCTACTCTCCTGGACTCCAGCAAAGCAGTGACCATTGATAAGATACCACAGATCTCAAATCTTTCAGCAATATTGGGTAATTCTTTTCTACAATACTTCAGGATATAAATATAAACAAATTTCACTCTGATGTGAGGAACCTGTATAAAATATGTAATGATCATTTTATGTGAGGTCTGTTTGCATAATGCAGAGAAGCTCCCTGCTAATGGTTTGTGTTTGCTTCTAATATTGTGCTTTATAAGTTAGTTTGCACTAAAAAATTGTCTGGTCTAAGCTGGCAGCTTTTTCATTTAAAGTTCTGCTTTCATGTTTTGGGTTTTTTTTAGAACCTGTACCAGAGGATTTTCCAGAGCGATGCACTAGAAGGTAATCACTACAGCAGACTCTTTGATGCACCTAAATGTTCAGACTCTTCTCTTTTGAGAGGTCCTCAAAAGAAAGTCCAGTGCAAATAAGCCTCTGCTCATGCAAACACTTCTGTGAGTGTCAGCTACCTGTGTCCTCACTAACTTTAATATTGGTGGAATTTGAAATTGGTCAGGGAAGAGTTTACGTTACAGACTTCTAGTTTGGCCTTGCAGCTGTAGGGAAGCCGATGTAAAAGCATTCAGTTAAGGATTTTATGGAAGGAGAGACATTTGACATTTATTTACAAAATCCCTAAATAAGTTGCTTTTATGCAATTGCATTAATTCTGTCAGATTTCATTCAGTCACAGCAAAAGGGGTGTGCTCAGGAGGTCTGGCCAGGCTTGTCTTTGCAGTAGAGTGTGAAGAGTAACTGTTGTCAAGTCTTCAGTAAGTCTGACATTCTGTGCTTGCCCATAGAAAAATCAGGTTTTGGGCAGGTCTTTTATGTTCTTTAGGAATCATCAACTTACATGGGGAGCTCCTTGCCTTTGGAATCCTGCTGACTTTATACTATAATCCTGGGCCAGTTACTGCCTGTTGATGGTGTTTTCTTACTCAGAATGCATCTGCCAGGAAGTAGAATGGTGCGTGTGGGTGTGTGTGTGTGCTGTGCTGGCACCCTGTTGACACCCACCTGTTGTTGGGTGCTGGCTTTTCTTTGACAAGTTGTCTGTGGTGAGGTTTTATCACAGAGAAGGGCCTTGTATACTTGGCTTTGTCACAGAGATGCCTTCAGGTCCTAACATCAAAACCTGAGGAGCATGAGTGTTTTTCTTGGAACAGCATCATTTCTTTTAACCCTTGTGCTTCTCCTTCCAGTCTTCTATGCAGACATTTTCATTCATAATACATACCGATCTTACTGTTACAGATCTCTACACAATTGATTCTGAATTTCCTTGTGAACCTAATTTCCCCTGCATCCTCCTTAAATGTGTTCTGTCCTAGAATGCTGAAATGCTAAGTATTTAGTGACTCTTCTGTGGCTCTTAAATTGCAACAGTCCTCAGGGTAGATGTGTGACTTCATAAACTATCAAATAACTGTAAAGGATGATTAAGCAACTCCTTAACAATATTTTTTTTTAAATAAGATTTATCCTGTTTCACTCAACCCGTATTTTCACAGGATTTTTTTATTAATAGTTTAGTTTTTTTTTAATGTTAACATTCATTCAGGATAGTTGTCCTTTTCTGTTTCTCCTCTTCTAGAAAGAGACCATCAAGTTACTATAACAGCTCTTCAGCATTAAACATTTCAGCTACGTTGGCAGGTAAAATATGACCTGAAGCAGTTGTACAAGCTGTGGGAAGAGAATATTCTACCCAAACTTAATGATTGCACTGTATCTAAACCAGGCTTCGACTGTGTCATTTGTCATCCAACACAGACTAAACTCAGTTGTGTCCAGAAGGGAGAGTGTAAATTGAAAAATTGTCCCAGCAAATAAGACTTGGTTCTAATTAACGTGTTAGGAGAAGAAAACAAAAACAACCAACCAACTAAAATCTCAGACCCTGCATTTTTCCATTTAATCACCCATGATGGTCAGTGAAAACTTGACATTTTTTATTTACTTTACCCAGGAAAACAGCTGTTTGTGTCATGCTCTTTACTTGAGCTTTTTTCATATCAGCTTCACAAATACATTGAGTCCCTGATGTAACTACAGTTCTGATCTGTGGCCAATACAATTCTGTCAGTGTGATTGTGCAGGTCTCTGGTCCCACAGTATTTACCCAGCCAGGTGAACATTTTAATAAGCAGCCTTGTATACAGAATGGGAGAGGAGTAAACCAGTCGTGATGGTGGGGAGAAGGAGATAAGGATTGTATTGAAGGGAAGAATTTTGCTTACAGGAGTGGCTCTGGAATTATTCCTCTTTGGAAACCATCCTGTAAGATATGGGGTGGAGAGTAGCTCTAGTGGTCTTTGTCTCAAAGTTAATTAATGTGTTGGAAATCTGTCACAGGAAAAAAACTCTGTAAAATAACAGCTGCAAGAGAGAGAACTCCAGACCTAAAAAGTGGTATGCGCTGTTCTTCACCATTAGGACCGGAAAGCAAGGTGAAAGATTCTTAATAAATCAGCAAGGTTGTAACACAAATTATTTCCTCCTTGTATGGGTGCAAAACTCCACCTAGAGGAATAGTAGTTCCTGCTACACTTGTAAAGTGGTGTTTGCAGCCAGGGCGGAGTGAAGACATAGCTTTCCTCTCCCTCTTGAGAGAGCAATAATCATGATGTCCCCAAGCTCACTGTTTTTCAGACTGACTGTGTCAGTGGTACTGAAATGGGTTGTGTAGAGCTTGACTATGACAGGGGGACTCTTTTTTTTTTTTTTTTTTTTTTTTTTTTGTTAGTGCTTATCAGGCTACAGAGTTTCACTTTGTAACACAAAATGTAATTGTTTTATTATTTAGCATGATAATCGAACAACTAAAGACAAAAGGCTGAAGAAAAAAGAAAGCAGCTTTAATCTCTTTGAAGGTTCATCATCGTTTAGGCACCCTGATGCCTCAGAAGACACATCCGACAGCTCAAAGGAATTGACAGTAGAAGTTCTGCCAACCAAACGGAGGGATGCTGTGGTGGTGAGTCTTCCCATTGTGCCCCACTGATTAACACTGGCATGGAATGGAAACAGGAGTTGTGAATCTTGACCAAAGTTACAATTAAATAGGAGAAGTGGCGGGAAGTGCCACATCTGAAATGTCCATGCTGCAGTAAACTAATTCTTTGTCTTAATTTTGGACAGCATAAGACAAAAAAAACCCAAACAAAACAACTCTAAATGACAGGAATTCAGTATTTAAATCTGAAGAACTAGTAGTAATTCTAAATGGAGTTCTTTAAGTATTGTATTCTTAAAAGTATTGTATATATACAGTATTTAAAGTTCTTAAAATACTGTAAGAGTAATAAACAGCAAAGACTTTGAAACTGATACTGAGTTCTTCTCTGTTTTTGTTTAGCAAATGACTTCCACCATGCTAATCATGGAGGAAAATAAAGTCCTAAAAAATCCTGGTAATGCTCAGCCTCTAGAGCTACATGTGAGTGTCTATCTGATGGGGTTTTTTTGGGGGCTTTTTTTTTTTTTGAATTATTAAAACCAAAGAAATCATTCCTTGTGGCACATTCCATTTCTGCCTATATATGTTACACTGCAAATTGCAGAACAAATGAATAAATTCTGGATAATTAAAAAACTCAAAAATCCAATCTAGGAATTTGTTTTGTATTTTTACAAATGTAATGTAAAACCAGTACTAGGATCTGTACTTGCATAAACTCTTTGATTCAAAATTGATATTTAAATGTTTGAATTCTTTGGCTGTACAGGTAGTACAGTGCTGCCACTTGTCTCTTCGCACTTGAGCTAGTGCATACTAGATTAATAAATAGAGAACATCAGTGCCTTGGTGAATCCCTAAATAGTTTTTTTTAAGCAACAGAATATCTTTTGCATGAGCCAACAAGCATTAGCCAATCTGAGTTGTCTGTTATTTAACTGGGCAGGTATACCTATATATTTTGTATTTTGATGGAACTGTAGCTTAGCTTGTCGCCAGTGTGTAAAGCCTCACCTGGGGAAGACCTGTTCCTGAATACCAAAGGTCCATTTGTAAACTCAGAAGAAATTGTTCCTGCATCTCTGAGCTCAGAAAACGAAATTATTCCTCAGAGTCCAGAAGAAAAGAATATTTTAAAGGTTCTGATTTTATTGCATTTTTTAAATCCAGTTTTGTCATGCTAATTTCTACTGTACTGTATATTTAGTCCTTAGAGTATCAAAACTGCTAAAGAGAATGTTTAAAGCTTTGAAGCTTTCTATCACCCTTTCCAATAGTATATTGAATGTACACAAGTAGCCTTAAATGTTTTCTAGTGACATGCCTTGAAATCTGCGTGTAATCTCTAATTTCTCTGGAAGAAAGCTAAAAGAACATTTCTTCATTGGGAGTGGTTGTGTGAATAAGATCTCATGAATCTTTTCAGCCTCAGTGTGACAGACGAGAAATCTGCTCCATCGTTAGACTGTCACCAGACCCGAGGCCTTCCCGGCTCCAGCAAGTTCCAGTCCGATCTAAGAAGTTCCGCCGTCCCAAAGGAGTGCCTAACGGTAAAGGGGTGTACACCTGGTTCTGTATTCCTGTATATATAGTGTAGATACACTGTGCAGATGCTAACTGTTAGTTGAGTGTTTAAAGGTTGTTGGGCTTTTTCTTAAAGTGTGAATATTTGGAAAAATCACAAGGCTAAAAAGAGTAAAAAATGCAGAGAACTTCAACTCTCTGGCTTAATAGTGTTCTTGTGCAACAGTACTGTAATAAAATAGCACTAGCATTTTCTCCTCCAAGTATCTTTAGCATAGGAATTAATACAGTCATAGGCTACTTCAGAATTAAGACTTTAATATAATTCTGTGCTTTATTTCTAGGGTGAGTAAGCGTGAGTTAAACTTTGGTATTCACCACCACCCCTCCACTAAAGTAGTTCCAGTTATCAGTAATATTTTTCTTCAAAAATTACCAGTTTCTCATAAGGTTTCTGTTCTTTTCTCCTGAAACCCTTAACATAGGGAAAACTCCTTTATTCACTTCCTTGTTTTTTGTTGAACAAAAATAAGAACTGTGAACAAAACTGTCTCATCACTTAACACAGAGGTAAAAGCCTCTCCCTTTCCCATCTCTCATGAAGTTTCTTGGTGTACCACTGGATGGCACGTGTGTTCCAAAGTTTAAAGTAGTTCTTCTACAAGTTTCCTGCAAGTTGTGTGTCACTTACTCTGTTTTAATTCAATACAGAGATACTGCATAAATGTGGCAGCTTTCAAAAATACTGAATACACAAAAATTTTCATTTGCTGTCTGTTAGGTCTAAATGTCTTTCTACTTTATTACCAGTTACATGCAGTATCTAGAATGCAGGGAAGTGCTTGTAAGTGTGTGTGTATGTATTAATTAATGACACTCATCTGACGCTTCTGTGCAGATCAAAGAACTGGGATTGTGCTAGGTCTTGTGCCCAGGCAAATTGTGGTAGTACAGAAGACAGGTTGTACTTGGTGGGCAAGTGAATCACAAATCAGCAAGTAGTGTTGTCAGAGCAAAAGTTTGGTTTTCTTACTCCTTTTCTAGAGGATCCTGGTATCAGGAATCAGACCCCACTATGGTGGGTGATTTATGCTGGCTGTTTTATTCTCTGCTCAAGGAGTCTTTCAGATGATGCTGGTTTTCATTAGAAATGTACATATACTCAACATTATGGTCCTCTCCTCACTGGTAAATGAGACCTGCAAAATCCAGATTCTTCCACAGAAATGCTAGCATTGGATATATCTAGTGAACATCTGAACAGCTGGTCAGATCATTGAGCTTTCTTTTACTTGTGAGAATGTACCACTTTATTGATAGTTATTTATCACTTTTTTTTCTCCCAGATACTATAACAAGTACCAAAAATTGGACCTACTGTAAACAGAGATGAGATTTTTGGCTCTCGGCAGGAGTTAACAGAAGAAATGACTGCCTTGCTGCTGTGACAGGGTGGTAAAACAGAACTCCTAACTAAGTAAATAATGGTTATATGGTTTTTGTATGAATGTTGTTTGAAATTTAGTATTACATGTTTCAGTAAGCTAGTAAATACTCAAATACTTTATATGAAATTATTTTGTACAGCAGCTAGATCCTGCTCTGGGCATTGTTCTGTAAGATTCCATAAAGACGATTCTTCAATTTGTTTAGATTTTTTAAAAGTTTGACTGAAGAACAGGAGAACAAATTCCTTTAATTAATTACTTTTGGCTCTCTCTGCCAAGATTTCTAGTTTTCTCTAGTAGCATTAGCATCAAAAGATGGGACCTCTGTTTAAGTGTTAACATTGACTATGAAGGTCAGTGTTAACATGGAGTCCTGGGAGTGGCCATGAAAGCATTCATGTACTCTTGGAGACCCAGAAGTCAATAGTATGGCACCATTAAACTCCTTGAGTGCTTAGGTCTGCAGAACTTTGGAGGTACAGGACTGTGTGTTCTGCTGTAATTTAATTTCTGAACATGACTACAGGTCATCTTCACCCCATCATCACTGAGAATTGTTTCTTAATGGTCAGCACTGTCACCATTCTGGGCACATCCACTGCCCAGCCGCTGCCACCTCAGAGTCCTTCCTGTTTCATCTCAGGTATTTTGTAATATCACATCTCTGAGTCATTCTCTCTTCAAGTGGCTTCAGACTTAAGAGAAAGTAAATGCCTTACATGAAGACAATGGTGGGAAAAACCCTTTTATAGCTGAACTGTTTGAAGAGATGGATATTGACATTCTGGATTTTCAGGTTAGTGCTCACACCGTGTCCACATAAGTCAGATTCCCTGTGCTTCCAGTTCAGGTTGTGGATTGTTAATTCATAAATGTTGTTCTTAATGTGCTGAATGTCTCAGAAAACACTGTCAAGAACATTTTTTTCCACTTGAATTCATTGCACATTAAAGTAATTTGGACCCCTACAGTGTTCTCGCTACAATATCCTTTACTCAGACTCTATCTGGATGAAAAGAAAGTTTTTCAATGTTTCAAAATGCTAGTATGGCTTTCAAAAGTCTGAGTGTGTTTCTCAGTGTTATCACCCTGGAAAATAGTTCTGTATTTCCTAAAAGAGAATTAAAAGACATACAAAATCCATAACCGTAGTTTGACTGCATTTGAAAATACCTGTGAAAGTTCAAACTCTGATCTTTTCCCCATTGCTCTGGGGTAGAAGGAAGTGCAAATAATTGCTGCTGGATTAGTCTGCAAACAAGTATTATATAAACATTCTAAATGGCTCAAGGTTAGAAATTATGCCATTAAGCTATTTTTCTTTTATGCATTAATAGAATGAGTTCTGCCAATAACTCCTTGGAGTCCTGTTGGCTATGCTTTTAATTATCAATATCCTTGTTCTTGCAAATACTATCACTAGTAATTATGCAATAATCTAGAGCCCCTAGGAGACAGAGGTGAGCTCCTTGATAAAGCTTTAAGCAAAATTGAAAGTTACATATTTACTAAGTTTACTTGAATAATCATCATAATGCTTATGATGATTATTCAAGTAAAAGATGGTCCAGAATAAAGATATATTTATTGTAATGGTATTCTGGAAGTCATATGAAAAAACACTTATTTTGCCCCAGGGCATTTGGTAGTGTTATACAAAGAGACTAATACTGGCAAACTAATTGTAAAGTGCAAGAGAGGATAACATGGTCTGTAACTGTGGAATTGGCTGTAGCAGCCTGAATATTGCTGGGGTTTGCCTTTGTTTTTCTTGATGTGATGAGGCTGTATAGGAGGACAGAAATATCACGAACCACAATCTCTTGTCCTTCCCTTCAGTTATGAAAGCACTGCTTCTTATCATCTTTTGTCTGACTCTTAGAGAAAATGTAATTAATTACCAGCCTAGCTCTTTGCCCCAGGGAAGGAAATTCATTTTGAGGCTGCAACAATCCCTACTCTTGTTCTGCTGTTCTCAAAGGAAAGGCATTTTCCCATAGTTTGGTTTTCAGCTGAAAAATTACTACATGAAATTTCATTCGGAGTGGGAACTGGCTCTTCCATATTGGTAGATAAAGGTTATGGGTCATGGTCAGTTAATGGGTAGGACTGAGGAGGTTATTTGTGCAGTGATTCAGGAGAAGAATCTGTTCAGTGTCACCAGGGCTTTTCTGTCACATCCCAGACATGATGAAGTCTTAGTGGCTGGAATGGAATTGCTTCCAGCGAGTCAGTCCATGCAAGAACTCTGATAATCCTTTATCAGCAGGAATTGTGCATGGCAGATGCATGTTGAGTAAATGTATTATACATAAATCTGTAAGAGGTTTTTCATTAACAATGTTCAGTTATTCTTGTTATCTGAAGTGCACTTTTAGGAGACTTTGACTCCAAGTACTCAGAGATGGTGGGAGATGTGTCTTGTACTGGAGTACTACAAGGGGGGTACATGTGCAGGTCAGTGGAGGGTAAAGCCTTACATGCAGATGGTTCTGGTTTGGTTCATAATCTTTAGACACAGAAAAGATGTCTGGGCCCAGATCAAAATATGCTGAATGTATACATAAGTACACTTACCTTTAAAGGGACTCCATCAGCTTGAATTGCAGTGCACTTGAGCTTAGTGAAATCTTCATTGCTCTAAGTTGTGAAACTGCTGAAAGCTGAGTTACATACTCTGGCCATAATTCTAGTTTTGTTCCCTGAGGACTTTCTATCTTTGAGACTGTATTTATGTGCTCCTCTTGAAGCCAGGAGGCTTCTACATGGTGAAAAGATGTAAAGATTCATCATGTGTAATCTGTGGCAGCCACGTGTGTCTTCTGTACAGAGTAAGGGGGGAAAGATGCATCTAAACATTAATTCCTGTTTTGTGGTAGAATTGTCTACAACTCCTGGTAGATGGAAAACAAAGTTCTTACAGATGGATGATTGTGAAGAATCATTCTGTAGATACGTTACACGTGCTAAATTATGCCTTAAAAATAATAATGCTTAATTTAATCTTACATCATATGTTGTTTAATTCCATTTTTCAGGGAAAGCAGATGAGTCAGTCAGATTTGCCAGTCCTTAATTAAACTTCCTAGCAGGGTTGTATCTGAACAGTGAGGCACTGAAGGAGACTGTTTGTTTCTATTTCATTTAGGTATTCCTATAGCATTTCTATTTCATTTAGGTATTACTAATACAGAGTTTTGTAAAAAGGCGTGGATCCTTTTGGTTTTAAAAAACCTATCACACCTCTTTTTTTTTTTTTTTTTTAATTTGTTTTGGAGTCAGTTGCTGGGCTTTATGTCCTAAATACTCTTTTGTGGATGGATGTTTTACCTGTAATGATGGCTTTCTCTGCCATCAACTACACACGTTCCACCTTCCCTGTAGGTTTTGACTCCAGTGCGTCTGAGCTGAGCGGTTCTGTTCCAGCTGTGGGAGAATCGCTTCTTGTACCTGGAAGGAGAGCGGGAAGGAGCTGGGTTTTCGAGGTTTGGGGTAAAAAACGTCACCTTTCTCTGGTTCACCCCTGCACGCCGAGTCCCGAAGGTGCTGGGTACAGCCACGAGAAGGATCTGATGCCTCGATCGTGACCTCCTCTCGCCTTCCTGGGGCTCCTTCCTTTAACTTCCGTCCGAAGAAGGAAAACACAACAGCGGCGCGTTATCGCCGCCCCCGGGGCATTCCTCGGCCCTGCCCCCAGCTGAGCCCGGCCGGGAGCGGCGCTTTTCCCGCACCCGCTGCGGCCGGAGGAGCCGCCGAGGCGGGGGAGCGGGAGGAGCTCCGCACTGCACTCCCCCAGGCCCGGCGCAGCCCGCGGGGTCTGCCGGGCTCCGCTCTCCACTTGGGGCCGCCCCACGGGGCCCGCCCCGCCCGCCGGCCGGCCCCCGCTCCCTCCGTCCCTCCCCTCGCTCCCTCCTCCCCTCCTGGCAGCGCCGGGTGACTAATTTCTGTCATATGACTGTGACACCGAATGGAGCGGGGCGGGCGGAACTAGCCGCGGCGAAGGGACGGCGCTGCGCGGAGCCCAGCGCCTCGGCGGCGGGGGCAGCGGCAGCGCCCCAAAATGCCGCCCACCCTCTTCCAGAAGCTCTTCAACAAGAAGCACGGCCTGATCTCCCCGGCCAGGGACGCCCGCGACGACTGTGTCTTCAGGTAACCGGGACGGGGTCGCGCTCCTACCCTGCCCCAAACTTCTTCTCCGAGTTCTTCGCTCCCTCCGCCGCCCGGAGGATGCGGGGGCTGGCAGACCCTTCCCTGCCCCATCTGCAGCTCCTGGGCGACGTGCCCCGCTCCCCCCCCAGCCCCCGGGGGATTCGTCCCCCGTCGTCCGCGGAGCCCCGGGGCCGCCCCGGCCGGGAGCCCCCGGGACCGCCACGTCGGGGCCGCTGCGGTGCCGCCGCTCGGCTGCCTCCCCCCGGGCCGCCGCTCCCAGCGCCGGGCCGTGCCTCCCCCCAGCCCGCGGCTGCCTCCCCTTCCCCGGCGTGTCTGAGGCCCCGGTCCCCGCGGGCCCCTCCGGGGATGCTGCGGGCCGGGGGAGGGCGACAGGCGGACAGGTCCCCAGGGAGCAGCCCCAGGAGCGGGGGGAAAATGTGAAGTTTTGGCGAAGAGAGGAGTGGGGCTTGTAGTGAAATTCGTCATGCTCTGACCGCAGCAGCAGCAGCGCTGGATCGGCCGAGCGAGGCCGGGCTGAGCGCGGGGAGCAGGGCAGGGGCCCCGGGGCTGCCCGGGGCCGGGGGGGCTCGCACGGCCCGGCCGGTGCCTGCGGGGCCGGGGCGCAGAGAGATGGTTCGATGCGCTGCGGGGCCTGGGGCTCGCCCGGGGCTTCCGCGGGCTGCTTTGCTCAGAAACAGGTAGCTTTTGTGCTGATCCACGCGTGAATAATGGTCAGGCTCGAAAGCGATGCCGTGTCTGCGTCCTGGCAAAGAGAGAATCTTCAATATCGTTTTAAAGTGCGGTTTGCCACCTGGATGGAAATAAAATCTGCATCATTAGTAAGAGTTACGGGCTTCTTGAAGCATTTCTAGCAGTGTGGTGAAGCTCTCCTCCCACCCACTGCCTTGAAATTTACTGCCTACAAATGATCAGCCTTTGGGTTGCTCTGTAAAGGGACATCTCTGACTGATGGGCTTAATTTTCTGTGGTGGGATACCTCTTTCAGCTGCAGTATTTAGCAGTTTAGATGGATAACAGTGTATCTGCAGTTATCTAACCACAAGGGTTTTCAAAAAATATTGGTTGGACTATATGAGTCCTCAAGGAGTCAAGACATGCTCCTGGACATTACGTGGAGCTCACACAACTTTTGAAGACACTGATGCATAACTGCTTTCACACCTCTCTGATATTCATCATGGAGTGGATCCTTTTTTAAAATTATTTTTTCGAAGAAACAAGTTTTAAGGATATCAATGTCATCTTATTTCCCAAATCATCTTAATACTGGACCAGAGCCCTTGGTGGGGAAGGGAAGTGGTACTAAGACTGCTTTGTATAGTTGTCGTACCTTTTGCCTTGCCTTAGTGATGGGTTTGTCTAGAGACTGGTGGTTCATGCAACAGCTGCAGTGCAGATCTGGGGCAGAAATGTGGGAATCACACCCGTGTTGAAAGGAAAGTGAGTACTTGGCAAGGTCTGTGCTTCCCTTGTCACCTGTATCCTTCTGTGCCAAACTGGGTCTGAAATTTGTAGTGCTGTTTCACTTTGTGCTATGAATTGTCAACTGGTAACTGGTGAATTTGCAGCTGGGTTTTTTTAGTGGACCCACAGGTATAATTTGCAGGGAAAGGCTGATGAGGCTCTGAGGAGGATGGGAGATCCAGCTCTGACTTAGGAAAGCCAAGTAGTATTTTTGAAGATTATTACATATTTCTCTAGGCACATTGCCTAATGGCTGCTTTCATTTTACAAAAGTTTGTAGCTAAGATCACAACTTGTTAGGATTATCAATTCCTGGTGAAACTTTCAGATAGTACACAAAATAAGGACTGGCACTTATGACAGCAGAGTCTTTGCAAATAAGCACTTTAGACTGTTGCTGGTTCCAGTGAACCTGAATGCACCAACCTCATCAATTTCATTGGGACAAGGTGATGTTTTATGGATTGATACATTATATCTGTTTACAGTCTAAATAACAGAGCATTTCCCAAATATTCTGAGTGCTGTTATTTCTGTTTGTCTTCACTTTGAAAACGCAGCTCTCTTATTGAGAAAACTGTGTAGAACAACCATAAAAATGCATAATTCTCTTATTATATTTTGTGAATAATATGTACTTGGAGAGAAGAACCCGATTACTCTGGCAATGACATTACTATAGCAGAACATTTAAGAATGATTTTGCCACTCTTTTTTTTTTTTACTATCAATATATTTTACATTTCCATCAGTCTTATTGTGACTAGGTGCTGGAGAAGTTAAGAGGTTTAGTAACGGGAACAGTAAATTAGCAACTGGAAAATATCTGCTAAGGTGACAGTTTGCCATTTATGTAATTTTTAACATATATATCTGTATGTATGCAGTTTATTTTACAGAAGAAACTTTAGGAAATCACAGTAGATCCACTGCTTCTTAGTTTTTTAGTTCTTCCATTTAATCCTGGGCAATTGGCAGATTTGGCCCTTAGACTGAAATCTCTTGCTGCAGCTGGACATTCACATGGTGAGCAAGAATATTCAAATTTTAGTGGTAAAATCTCTTTACAAGAAACACAGAAACACCTGCAAGTATTCTAGGAGGGAAAAGTTAAGCCCTTATATTCCAAGATGTAGAGTACCTGCTGTCTACTGCAAATAATACTCATGTGAGTGGATTTTCCCTGAGGGTAATTCTTACTATAAATAGGATCTCTTGGCCATATTGTAGCATCTGGCACAGACCACTGCTGGTGACAGGAGAGCTCAGCCCAGGCTCAGGCTATTACAGTTATTAGGATAAAATCTCAGGTAAGCAGTTTTCTAGAATTTTATAATCAAAGTATTCCTATTGTAAAAATACATAAAGGTATTCACATGAGCTGTAAGCTGTATGTATCTAAAATGGAGATACACTTTGAAATAGTAAATAAACGAACCCTGTTCCAGTAACATGGAAATAATCTTACAAAAACTTCCTTAAATTAAGCAGAAGTAGCCATGCATTTCTGCTGCATATTATATGGGCACACAAAACATTCTACTGTGCATTTACATTACTGACTGCTACAGATGGTGATTTCCTGCTGCTGTGTCTTTCCTGGCTTTCCAGGGATCCACTGTAGCCCTCTGGAGAAAAGGAAGCTGGTAAGTCACTGAAAACTCAACCAGCTTTTTGTTCTTCAGAATGGGCTCAGTAGATTGAGGCTGAAGCTCAGTAAATTACCAGGAGGGCTGAGGCTTTATATCCTTGTCAGGATGTGTGGGCAGTATTTCCAATGGTAAATACAGCTGCAAGGACTGCAGCAGGGTTTCTGCTGGAGGTGTGTTGGGATCCTGATTGGACTTGTGGCATTGTTAGCATGTGGCACAGGGAGAGGGATTGTCTTGTAACACTGAGTTATGGGACTTGTACATTTTGGGGCTCAGTGCAGGAGGGAACTCAGTGGGGAGTTTTTGCATCTCATGTGTAAAGTTCAAATACTTGTTCCCTTCTGTCTCTAGACATCCTGCCTGCCTAGCTGGAAGATAGAGGGATTATTAATTAGAGTTCTTTTTACACTACAGCTCAATAAAAGCTTCAGTGTCTCTTTTTTTATTTTAATCTAGGGAACTCTAAAGAGCCATCTTACCCCGAGGGGCATTCCACTGATGTTTGCAAACTCTGTTTTGCTCTTGTTAAAGCACCTGTTGTAGAGGTACAGCTGTGTGGTGATTGTTCAAGCTTGACAGAACCCCTTCCAGTTTCAAGTCTTACCAATGGTGTGGGGTATCTTTGAGCACATTCTTCCTTTAGGGCTTTGCTTTGGTTATCTAGGTATTTTTGAGGAGTGCTGTTTTTCAAGCTGAGACATACAGGAAAAAATAATTTTAAATGTACTTTACGGTATAGAAAGCCATTTTTGGTTGGGGTCTTCTAGTAATATGTGCTACTCCTTTATTGAGAGAATAGTTTGCCAGGTTCCTGAGACAGGACTGGCCTCAGGCTGACTGCAAAGTAGTATTTCCTGAAATCTGTTGAGGCAAGCGTTCCCCATCAGCCCAAACTCTTTCTGTTCTCTGTGGCAGTGACTTTAAATGGTGTCCTGAGATTTGTTTCCTTTCACATAATTTTTGGCAGTGGCATTCATCAAGGGAATTACAGTAAACATGGAGTTGTAAATGGGTGGCTTGATACAAAGATGCTTCATGAGCCAGTTCTTCTGCAGAGCTATTGTTCTTGCACAGTAAAAATGGTACGTGCTTTCTTACAAAAGCATAATTGCTTCTTGAACCAGAGGCTGATTTCTTGAAATAAAGTGCAAAGAGACTCAGAGACATTTATTAATGTGTAGCCAGAGACTACTGCAGCTTTTAAAAGTGGAGGCTGGAGTATGGTGAAGGAGGAACATGAAAGTTGTCTTTACATTGGTATATCCAGTCAGAAGTTTTACCCAGAGAACTTTTTTCTCAGGAGCAGGTAGCTTTGTGTACAGCTTGGCTGAGCCCAGGAAAGCGGATCTCTTGCCAAATTGTGTCAGTTCTTGGGAGCAACGCAGCCAGCAAATTCCTGCTCCTAACAGTTCTGCACAAGGCTTTTAAAAGTTGTTCCTCAGCAGTGCATCAGGCCAGCCTGACCAAAACCTGTTGTTAACGAAACAGCATGTTTTGATGTTTGTTCATTTCTGGCGTTCTGAGAGGATTTTTGTCAATATTTGTAAAACTCCTGGAATTTCACCACCTCTAAGTCTTTCTTCCAAAAGAGCATTAGCTGGACCTCATTTTGTAATAAGTCCAGCTTTTTATCTTTTCCAGTTATCTG